CAATTTACAATGACACATCGTCGTCATTTCTTCTTGACTTGTTGAAGTAACTAATGCATCTGCTGCCTGCAATGTATCTCCTAGAAGCATGTATAGATTAGCAGAGAGCTTCGCTACTTTCATCACTACTAGAGCACCTTTAACCACTTTCAAGATCTCACCTTCAATATGGGTCTTACAACTGAGGTTATCTAATTGCCCTATTGATAATAGATTTTTCTTCAATCCCTTCACATGGTGTACTCCCTCAATTGTGCAAACAGTACCATCATACATTTTTAATTTGATAGTACCAACCCCAGCAGTTTCCAAAGCATGATCATTTTCCATGAACACAGATCCTTTTGAGATAGGTTCATAAGTGCAAAACCAATCTCATTGTGAAGTCATGTGCCATGTTGCTCTAGAATCCATTATCCATGCGTCAGTGAGTTGTCTTTTGCCTTTGGAACCAATTGTAGCTTCGCTGTATAGAATTTCTCCATAATCAGAGGTACTAGCAACACACCTTTGAGACGTACTTGCTCCAGTAGACTTCTCTGAATTTTTCTTGTTATACCAACAATCTTTCTTCAGGTGCCCCTTCATGCCACAATTGTAGCATTTAAAGTTCTTCCGTCTTCGAGACTTTGATCTACCATAGTTCTAGCTCCCACTAGGGCCATGCTCCATTGATCTTTCTCTCATCATCGTCAATGCTTCCACTTGCTTTGAACTTTCTTTACTATCTTCTTTATTTTTGCATCTAGATTCTTCTTCAAGAATGGCTCCGGCAACATCATCAAAGTGCAAGGGACCAACAATATTATTATTTGTTATATTGATGATGAGTTGATCATACGAATCTGGCAAGCTCTGAAGCAGAAGTTCGGCACACTCATTTTCTGGTATTATGAAATCTGACAATGTAAGCTGAGCAAACAACGTATTCAGATTGTTGATGTGGTCTGTTACTGATGTGGACTCACTCATCCGAAGAGTATACAACCTCCTCTTCAAAAATATTCTATTGTGAAGTGATTTCATCTTATACAGTTTGATGAGGGTATCCCAGATCTCCTTTGTAGTATCCTTTTCTGTAATGCTTGACAAAACTAAATCTGCCATTGCTAAGTGCAAGGTAGAAACAATGTTGTTATCCATTTCTTTTCACTTTTCATCAGTAATGTCGACGGGTCTACCTTCAATTGCCGCTGAACAATTTTCCTTTTTCAAAATTGCCTTTATCTTCAATTTCCACAGGGAGAAGTTACTCACACTGAATTTTTCAATCTCAAATTTTGCCACCATTTTTTTTATAACTAAATCGGTTTACACAATTTCACCGTAAATAGTACAGTATACGTTAATAGTATTATATATTTTTACCGCGCACCAGAATAATTTTAGTATATGTTAACAATCACTGCAAAAATATATAACCACATCGTAAATAATAATTGTGAATAGTATCGCAACGTCAACAACCAGTGGCTCTGATACCACTGTTAGGTACTAGAGTAACTAAGTAATATCACACAGCTAAAATATAGATGAGAAAAGAGGAACTGAAGCTCAATAATTTTACGTGAAAAACCCTCAACAGATAAGGGAAAAATCACGGGTAAGATCAGAGAAATATTTTTACTAAGTGAAAGAAATATTATAATTTTTTTTCTCCAATTTACAAGGAGAGAACAATGACACTCTTTCTTGAAAAATAAGAAAAAAAAAAACTCACTCACTAGGAGAACCTCACAAAAGAATACTATTTTAGCTCTCTGTATTTTTCTCTCTATGTATTTTTTTTCTACTCACTATGAAATTACACTCGATTGTGTTGCATGCTGGGATACCTAAAACTAACGAAAGATGCAAGTATTTATAGGCAAGGATCGTTCTAGTGCCTTCACATGCCACCAAACAACATGCATCATTTTTTTTTCTTCTGCACCTAATCTATAGCCCACTTCATAGCTTCCTTTCTTTTACTTCTTCCACCGAAAACAAAATCAACAATATTGACTATACAAAGTCAACAAAAATGACTTTACATATTCACAAGTTTTTTATTGTTTACAGAGAATTAGTAATTTAATTAAATATTTTTAAATTACATATACATATTTTATAGCGTGTTTGATTTAACATCAAATTCATTCAAATGTTAATTATTTCAACACTATAAATTATAAATTTCACTTTTGGTTTAACATGATTTTATTAGGTTTTTAAATATGCACTTAGAAAATTATAGTTAAATTTCTATAGTTTTAAATTCTTTAATTGTGTTTAACATGATTTCAAAAATTTTAAGTCACACTAAAATTATCGTAATTGTTAAATAAAAATATCAATATTATAAAATATAAAACAGAACCATAGAACTATATATAAAAAGAATATTATAAAATATAAAATAAGACTATAAAACTATATAAAAAGAAGAGTGGAAAGAGAATAATAAAGCTATTTTTGTTTTGGATGCATAACTATACTATTTTGTTTCTATGCATTAATATTTAAGTGCAAATATATAAGAAATAATACCTTATCAAAATACTTATACATGCTGTCGGCAAAAAGCTATATACACCCACTAACATTAGGAATACAAATCTATCCAAAATATAATAAATTAAAACTACTAATCATAACATTAAGTACAAGTAAATATATTGCAATAAATAAATATAATTAAAACAGTCAATAGTAACTAAAAAAAGTTTCACAGCCTATTAAATTAGGAACTTGTGGAATATGATTGTTAAGCTTTGAAAACAATGACATTATCTACTTGAGCTAAACAAATTGTAGCTACATTAGGGATTAAGGACACTACCAACTTACGTGAATGGAAAAGTCATTGGTTTCTTGTTTTCTCCATCAATTTGAAAAATGACAGATACGAGGCAAATGAAAGGTGATAGATTGCATTTCACCATTGTTACCCTTAATTCTTCACCTGAATAACAATATTTTCAAGATTGAGAACAATATTGAGAGGGAGGGAGACTTAGACTTTGGTGTGAACATATATAATATTCAACATTAATTAGTAAAATTCCTTCCCTTGAAAGGTTTGAACTATGCCAATTCTGGCCTTATAAACCAACGTTTGTGTTCTAAAATAGAGTATGTTTTTGGTACATGAAATTCTAGTTCCATTCGTACATCTGTTCTGTAGGAATCACGACTGCTTAATGGAAAAATTTCAAAGGGCATATAATGACTAAAGTTTGTCTTACCACCTTTAATACTATTTATCTTCACTTGCTATATTTATGATAGAATATTTGCATTCAATTCTGATTTCGTGTATCAAACATAAAAGAAAAATGAGGAAATAAAATGTGATTCCATTCCCAGCACCCTGCACCAAACTTGGAATCAATCACATAAACAAAACAGTCCACAAAATTGTAAGCTCAAACGACTCACCAAAAACCATTGGTATGAGAAGCATATTGATTGAATGAATTTGTACTGAGCATGTAGTCCCTCAACATTTTTTATTTCATTAATTTTCACACCAAAGAGTTTCATTCAACGTACCAAAACTGATCCGAATGTTAGGATGAATTTTCCAACAACAAATACTCGTACACGCATAGAAACACATTTTTGTAGTATTATAATCAATGTTACAACGTTTAGAAGGATATTTAGGTGCAGGGTATAAGAAAAATCCTGCATCTGATATCATAATTTTTTATACTGCGATAAGAAATACGTCATGAGGTTTCGTGTGAGAAAAAGTGATGAAGGAGCCAACAAATATCTCACAATTATTTCCCTAGGAATCCAAGAGGATGCCACGGAGGGGACGCTTTATTCACACAAAATAATGACAAGGGTGTGTTGGAAATTGAACAAATGACCAAGTTAAAATAGGAAGAAGAAAGATTTGGGACCAAGAAACATTGTATTAAGAATATAAAAACAGTGTAAGCTGAGAGATGACACATTCTAAATAGTTAAGGCATCAGAAAGGGCGAGATTGAACTTCGTATCATTGTGGCATTGAAAAATAGAAGAAAAGTATATAAGGAACAAAAGTCAAGCACAAAAGAAGGCGAGAAAAAGCTTTGAGGGACTTTAGATGGAAGAAAAGAGAAATCAGTCTGCTCTATAAGTTTTAGGGACATGACCCTTGTATTACTTTAATTCTGAAATAGGGTGCTACCAATTTCTTCATTTTTTCTTTTTTTTTTTGTATTTTAGAATTAACAAAAGTGATATATAACACAAAAGCATAAAATCAATTGCAATAGCCAAATATATTGGTACACTAATTCCTTGACTTTCTTTTTTTATCCTTGAATTGAACCTTATCTGCTGCTGAATAAATTTTTTTAACTATTATTTTTTGTTGACATCAATTTACTTCTTAATTACTACTTTTTTTTTGTGCAATTATTGTTTTGATCAGGAATCAAGATAACAAAATTGTGGTGGGAATGCTTTAAACTTTTTTGTGTGTGTGTATTTTAAATTAAATAACCTACTTGGCAACTTTGGCATTAAAGAATTGAAAAAAATATATTTACTTTAATCTTTTTGGCATAAAATAATATTAAAGAGATGTTAACCTCGATCTTTAAAAACAGGATAAATAACTATTAATAATAAAATTTTATTAAAACAAGAAATATTTATTATAATTGAATATAATAAATATGTATTTTTTTTATAAAAACTCTTTATTTTATAAATGTATAGTTATAAAAATATCTGTAAAAATTACTTTAAATGCATATTGTGATATCATAGGTAATCAGAGAATAGCATCTGTTGTCTGGTGCCTTCGAGAAGTTCCCTTAGCTGCATACCATAGTAAAATATAAGAATCAGAATATCGTATATGACATGACATAGAATTGACAAACACAAGCCTAGTTGTATGATACGATACTCAAGTTGCACTCTTATTCACACTACGATTCAGAACCATTCATACATCCATTTTTTTTTTATTTCATACTTTAGCACTTTATTTACATACACGTATATTTTAATTTTTAAACTAAATGATAATCTTCTTCTCTTTGCATCCTCTGTTGCTTGGCAATGAAAGCCTCCACAGTGCGACGAAACTCCTCGTTGCTCATTTTATCTTCAGGGTAACAAATCCGTGCCACGTCCTTACGAGAATCGCGTTCACGTTCAACGCTCTTCTTATTAATCTCGGTGTCACACCTACGTAGCACACGACGTCGTTTCTCACTTAAAATCTCCGTTTGACACCTTCTGTAACGCTTCTCCAAACCAATATTCGCTTCCCCTGTTTTCATCCTCTGTTTCTCTGTTTCTGGGTATTTCCTTTTGTCTTCATCGATTACGTCCTCTGTTTTTATTTTCTGCTTTTCTGGGTCTCCTTGATTCTTCGTGTTCTTGATGAATTCTTGATAAAGATCAGATTCTGGAACGTTTCTTTCAGAACCCTGAGCAGAGAACTGAGCGAAGAGTGTGATGATGATGACGTTTCCAATGAGAAAAATAAAGCGAGGACTATTCATGAAGAGTGACAAGTCCCTAAAGTATTCACTGGAGCTTTTTACTGCAACTGGTAGCTTCAGAGAAAACCTTGAAATCAACAGCAAAACAGCACACACCTCCACGAAGCGTAACAAGCTTGTGATCCTTCGAAGCTTGCGGTGTTTTATGATTGCGTTGGCTTTCTCTGCCTGAAGGTTGTTGAAACTGAATGAGTCCATTTCTCAAAGTGTTGATAGAGAAAGTACACGTGTGTCTGTCAGTCGAAGGGGAATAATAGATTTTTGTGAAGAGGGAATAGAGAATGTGAAGTTATAGCGGTTTGAACACTAGGAAGCATGGAAACAGAGTAAGTGAAGTGAGTGAATCTTATGTGAACTCTGTTTGGACAGAGAGAACAGAGTGGAGGTGTTTGTTTCCTTCCACTTTATATAGACTCGAATCAAACCTTTAAAAAAATATATACAGATATAATTCTCAATATTCCATTATCGACTTTTCTTTATCCTTTTACTATATATTTATCAATTTTTTTTCTTCACTTTTGGTAAGTGATTCATGAAAGGTAGTTGGTAACGCAATGTATTATTCATATACTAAAATAATAACTAAAATGCACATTTGATTTTTATGATGGACACTTTAAATTCTATTTATTTTTTATAAAAAGGTAATTAGATAGAAAGGATAATTTACAATTTTAATTAAAAATTTAATTTAAAAAAATATTATTATCTATTTTTTCCCTTTTTTATCTGTGTAACTCATTAAAAATTTATGTTAATAAAAGAAAATCATAAATACTCCTGTAAACTTGCTGCTCAAACTATGTGCTGAAACTACGATACTTTTCTGAACAATCTTTGAACTCAGAGGAATAACCTTGGTATCACTACTGTCTTCTCTTGATTCGGTTCCCATTATTATTAGGGAATCGCATTGTTGCGAGAGAATTGATATAATACATGACTAAGATATTATTGTATAGGTTTTCTTAATTATTTTAAGTATTTAAAATAATAATATTTTATTATTAATAATTATTTAAATTTAATCTAAAAATTTAAGTTAATTTTTTTATGATATTTATTTTTGTACCTAAATATCATTTAATTATAAAAATCAAATTTGAATTTAAATTCTCATATAATTTAAACTACAATCCAGTACATAAAAAAAATTTATATTTTAGCCTTTTTATATAAAATATTCTTTTTGTTTCAAGGGAGTGTGTATTCCCATTTCAAAATATCTATTGTTACGCTTAATTGTTCTTGTCAATAAATAAAAAAATTTATTTTTCATGAAAAATATCTTTAAAAAGTGACAATAGGTTATAGAAATTTTAGGGTGACAATAAATGCATTTTTATGAAAGATACATTGATATCATTACAACTTTTATAAGTTATAAAACTTAATTTATAAAAAAAATTATATTAAAGTTAATATATAAAATCTTTTTATATAACGACTGAAATAAACAGTAAGTGAAATCCAAAAAACTAATTATGGTTTAACCTCCTCAAATTAACTAGAAGCCTCAAATGAAATATTAAAAATTTGAATTTTGGTCTCTATTTTCGTCACTTAATACTTTTTATTTTTTTACCAATATCATCTGACAAAAAATCGATAGTGATAATTTTTTACTAAGTTAGACTTCATTAACAATAATAAATATTGAATTTAGAAAAAAAAAGTTAAAACAGTTCTTTTAAAAGCTATAATTACAAATTTTCAAAACTATAAATATTAGATTTAAATGTTTATTAATATAGTGGACTGTACCATATGTTGCAACATCACCAATTTGCCAATGCGAGGGGACTACGTGACTGACATGTTATTATCCACAAAAATTTGCATCTCACTTTTGAACAGTGGTAAGTTTATTTATGCATAAATGGATATATCTTCTCTCACCCAGTTCTCTTCTTTAAAAAACATGGTGGTGGTTAATGGTTTAACAGCGATGATAAATGACATTTGTATAAGAAAAAGAGAGAGAACGAAGTGATAATATTAGTAATATATACGATAGAGACAAATATAAAAAAAATTATTAAAATATATTGTGAAAATAACATAACTCAAATGTTTAAAAGGTATTTTAAACATAGAAACTGCACTCTTCACATAAATTCTCTACTTGTTTCTTAACACTTTAAAGAAAATGACATGCACTCTTGATTTTATTTTTAGTTCTATCTTATATTCCCTCATCGTTCAAAAAGCCTTTGGTTCAACTTTTGCCTTCCGATGGAACACTGTTGGTTCGGAGAAAAAACTTCATTATCTATAAATGATATCGATAGGGTATTTTTACATTAGTTATAATAAAATGATAATAGTCATATGTAAGTAGGTAAACATGTACAATGATCGAAGCCTTAAAATTGGGAATAATAAAAAGTGAGGAGACATTAATGTTTCAATCAATCGTTCTCGGGTTCTTATGATATTTTTTAATGGTTTTCTTGTGGATATGGTTCCAGATTCTGTATTGTTGAAGATGTTCGTTCCCACAGAATCACTACAACGAGCGAAAGCACTATGGAGAAGCGGATTAACATGACAGCGACGAACAGAGTTGGTTCAGTGCCTTCGCTGCTACAAGCTTTACGTATTTTCAACTACAAGCGATGAACCGGATTATCCAAATGCAACTTAAATATATATCATAATGTGTAACCTATACAATAAAAAGAGTGAGGTTATTAATTATGTGCAAAGATATTACATGTCAATTAATTAAAATATACTTCTAGAACGTGCCAATAAAATCTCACCGTTTATTAAAATTAAAAAAGATCAAGAGCATATTAAGATATCTTCTTTACTACGAGACCTTTTATAAATATTCAAAAATAAAATCATAAAAATTTAGACCCCAAATAAATAATATTGAACTAGTGTAAAAATATAATAATAAATATATTTTTTATATGAATTAATAAAAAAATTCTCTCCAGCCGACTGCAACTGTAATTATCATCATATAATCCTTTTATTCATTTGGTATTGGAAGTGATAAATTACAGCCAATTGATTGATAATTCTTCATTCATATAATAACCAAATAAAAATTGTGGAACCATTTATAAAAAAAATTAATAAATTTAAGGGCTTAAATATATTTTTTTAACTATGACAAAAGCAAAACATCCTTACAAAATATGAAAAAAAATGTTCAATGTAACAACATATAAACCTATCGAACTAATATATATTGTTAAAGTTATTATGAATTTGAAAATGTTCATATTTAAAATTATAGAGGTAATTATATATATATATATATATATATATATATATATTTTCTATTTCTCATTAGATAGGTTTAGGAGCATTAAATATATTTCAATTATTTAAAAGCAAGTATTAAATTAATCTAACATTTTTAATATAATATTATTTATAATAGATTTTTTATTTCATTTATTAAAATAATTTTTTGTTTTTATTTCAATTATTTAAAAGCAAGGATAGACTAACCATGAGACTATTGGGCTTCACACTGAGGGCTGCTTAGGCCCAGGCGAAACGACGTAGCATAAAGCTGTTGTGATATGCCTCATATAAAATCCCTAGGGTTTCTGGTTGCCTTTCTTCGTGAACTTGCGCCTCTACCTGAGAGAGTGAAACCCTTCTCTTTCTGTTTTCGCAACTGATTCCATGGTGCGTGTCTCTCAATGTATCTACACTCTGTTTTCCCTCCTAATTCTCATTCATGTCTCTAATTAGCTTCGTGGGTTATTTCTTGCAGGCTCCAAAGAAGGATAAGGCTCCTCCACCTTCCTCCAAGCCAGCCAAATCTGGCGGTGGCAAACAGAAGAAGAAGGTTTGTTTCTCGTCAAAGTTTCGTTTTTTCCAAAATAATTATCGTGTGGCCTATTGGGTAATCAGGGGTGGGTGCTTTTAACTTTGTTTATCATAAGTGCTGATTGCCGAAGCTTAATTTTTTGTGTGTGACTGAAGTACTATGAGAGATGTGTTTGTGATATGCTGATATTATAGTGGGATTTATGTTTAACAGAAGTGGAGCAAGGGAAAGCAAAAGGAGAAGGTGAATAACATGGTGCTGTTTGATCAGGGCACTTATGACAAGCTCCTTTCTGAAGCACCCAAATACAAGCTCATCACTCCTTCCATTCTCTCTGATCGTTTGAGGGTACCGCTTTTATTTTTTATAATTGTGCTGTGGATTATTTTTATTGGTGATTAATCGTTTGCGTTGGTGGTGTCTTGTGTTGAGAATTGTGGTTTGTGTCTTTGTGAGCTAATGTAGGCTTACTGCATTGTTTGAACTGTTGTTGATTTTGTGTTATTTGAGTCATTTTACAAGCTTTAGCCTAGAATTAGTCTGGCTGCATTTCCAGGCTTATGTCTGTTTTCCTGCTCTGCTGCTTCACTTTTCATGACTAATCCTGGAAAGCTGCTTGTATGTAAATTTTGTTAACAGTTTTTGGTATATATGACTCAAGTGCATGTACTTTTTGTTATGTTGTTTTTGGAAAGTTTTCATGGGTTTGCAATTGCTGCCTTGTGGATTTTAGTTTTCTGAAGTGCAAGTTGAAACTGACTGACTGTTTATAAGAAAATCAAGAGAAAAGATTCTCTTACATTCCTGACTTGTTATCTGGTTGCTTTTTTATATAAAAATTTAACAGTGTTGTTGATTTTTGTGTCAATGGTTATCAATGACATACTTTTCTTACTAAAGTGCATCCTCCATTTTGGAGTCTAATTTTTTTTTCTGGATTTGCGAACTAATTTTGGCTGTTAATTGCTCCAATAAAGTTTTTTGGTTTATGAGAATAGAATTTGCTAAACAGTGTCAGTAAATAAACTCAACATTGGTAAAGTTTTAGAATAACAAGATCTTTGTATCTGTTCAGGATATGTACGAGGTGGCATTCTGTCTAGGACAATATGTTCAAGTACTTCTGGTTGAAAATTTAGATTCCTTATTATATCTTTATTTTGTGTGTTCCACCACATCTCCTACCCTCAGTTGCTTAGAAGTATGTCTTCACTGTCCCTCATTTTCCCATGGGTACATTCATGTATTCAAGGTAGTTAAAATCCTGATTTGAATTGTAAAATCCTACGATTTTGGATGCCTTACCTATTTAAATTGTGGGTAAAATTGTGGCCAAGTAAAACCATCGTAAAATCCCTCAAATAGTGGAATTTTACGATTTCACCTTGACTCAGAAAATTCCTGTAAAAGTCTCATCTTTTAAATCCTAATGCAGTTGACCCCTCTTTCATATCTCTTTTTTGTAGAACCCAATTTGCCTCTAGCAGCTTTGAACCCTACGATGTCAATTCAACAGCCCTCCCCAATATTGTTAAAATCGCGATTAAAAATGCAAGATCGTATGATCTTACGATCTGTAACCTGCCCTGCAATCAGAAGTAGGATCGGAAAACAAGATTGGGTAAAAGATCCCCATCTTTCTCCCTAGTAGGATCAACAATCCGATCCGATCTTGGCACACAAGTTTCTGGGTCAGTTTCTTGACTTGGTTTCTTGGTCAGGTTTTTGGGACTTGGGTTTTTGGGTCAGGTTTTTGTGACCCAGTTTTTAATTAGGGCATTTTACCCCATTTTGGAGTTCTATCCCGACAACACTCAATCCTCCCTGTGCTGGAGAAGATGATGAGAGCCACTTTGGCGCCGCAAAGAATGGATAACTCACGAGCCTTCTTCATCAATCTGTTGCGCCTCTTCAAAAATGTTACTTGACAAGTGCTTTTGTCCTGAATAATCTCCACCTTCTTCTTGCCCATTCTTCTTCGCACCCAAAACCATAGCTTCTTTTCTGAGAATTTCTCTTTTTCTTTCTCTGATTTTCTTGCCATTCTGTTATGGCTTAGCAGCCAAAATATCTTGTTCTCGTAGGCTTCTCGGGTTCATTCACGAATTGACACATTCAATCACCTACTGCTACTCTTACTAATTAATTGTCATTTCTTTTTTTAATAATATAATTTATTACCCGCAACAAAACATATTTAACCAATCTTTATATTAATTTATTCTAATAGTTGTTTTTTTATATTATAAAAATATTCTAACGAATTTTTTGAAATAATAAAATTTCAAAATATACAAATTTAATTAGTTTATTTTATAATTGAAAGTTTTTAAAATTGTCTTAAAAAATATAATTAACTTTTACTGAATATAGATTTTTAGAATCTATGATTTTTTAGTTATATTTAATTAAAGTATGTAATTTAGATGTTAATTTTTTTATGTATATTATTTTTTTATGCTTTTATATATATGTGTGTGTGTGTTTCAGTATAATTTTACATATTTAGTAGGATTTTACGATGTATTTTACGTTCCCATCATTTATGATGTTTGACCTACCTTCTGAATTCCGATCTTGACAACATTGGTCCTCCCATTGTGTGCAGCCTGGTCTGCAGCTAAACCCAGCTGTGTGTGACTTCTCTGAGTTTGAGTCTAGTGCTACTGTTCATGCATCTTTTCTGTTCTGGTCTATTTTTAATTCATGCCAATGCATGACATTTTTATGGAATATTGATTATGATTTGTGATTGCTACTTTATTTAAGTGCTTTTACTAATTTAAAGATTCCCTCCCCCCCCCCCCCCCAATTTATGCATATTTTATATGCATAATATGAATTTTTAAGCATATATATGAATTTTGTAAATCTTAATGATTCGATTTACTATTTTCACTCCCCTTTACAATTTAAAGTAAAATCCTGAATTTAACTACTCTGCATGTACGATGTGCTTTATATTATAAAATGTCATTTTAATGCTAACATTTATATTTGTTTGAGTTTGGTAGTAGTCTGCAATTTAAGTCTTCCTTTTGGGTTGCACACTCATGCTTGCACTATAGCAGTATGATTGTCAATGCATAAGCACTGATGAGTAATGTTAATAAGTATAACACTGCCATTTTACATGTATTCTACAGATTAATGGATCACTTGCAAGGAGGGCAATAAGAGAATTGATGGCTAGAGGTTCAATCAGGATGGTGTCTGCCCATGCAAGCCAGCAGATTTACACCAGGGCTACAAACACCTAGGTGTGGTACTGATCATAGCTTATGGAGTATTGATAGGATTAGTGATGTATTGTTCTTTTGAAGTTTTGAGATACACCTCATAGTAGCTTCTATTAGTTTTTGTTTGTTGATGGATCCGTTACTGAGATTTTTTTTATATCCCTGGTATTGTATTTCAATTCCATGTTTTATCGTTTTTGGTATCCAAACATTCTTATGACTAATTTTGTTTAGTTGATTCTCGTTGAAAGCCCAGACTAAATGGGAAATGGTTGCGCCTAGTGTTTTGTTATATATGATTTGGCCGTGTTGGCTACGAGCAGTTGCTACACGAATTCATATTTTTAATAATTTGGATTTTTTTTTGGGTGGAACAGTAGCATAACACATTTTACACAGTAAATCAGATTTATTAAGCTCAAAAATTGTGTTGCCTTAAGTTAGCAGTGCCAGTATTTTCTTAAAGACGCTTGAAGGATTTTTCGTCTTGGATAGTTTTACTGGAAATTAGGCTTATTCGTAATCTATCTCGGCTAATGGAAATGGCTTATACATTGACCTGCATTCGATTGCCGTGATATTATTCTCTGGTAAAGTGTCTCAAGATCCAAAAATTAAAATAAGTTCATACCACGGTTCTAAAATGGTTTTTTCTCCCCATATTCAGCGCACGTTGCGATAATAAATTAATAATTAGAGAACAGTATGGTTAAAATTCACCTTTAGGGCTGACCATAGGTATTAAAAATGAAAATGCATTATTGAGGAAGTGTTAGTTTTTTGTAATTTTCATGCAGTAAATATTTTTTAAGGAAGCATTTTATAGAAAAAGTAAAAAAAAATGAATTGTACTTATTTGTTTTTTTTTAAATGATAAAAATAACAACAGAAACTCTTTTAAGTTTAACAAATGACAACATATAAACGGCAAATTGTGGAGTAGACTAACCTACAAGAAGTTTGTGGATATAAACAGCAAGTTGTAGTGAATGTTGCAATCAAATGAAGGCAAGGGTGCATAACCAACCAGAAAAAAGTAAAACAATCTTGCAGAGAGTAATAGCTTCCTGGCGTTAATATAAAAAGAAAAAGAAAATGCATTTGCCAAGCAATGACAGTCATAATCATCTCATACATTAATTGTTAGTGATCTTGGGTTAGGGAACAATCGTCACCTGATATGGTACAGTCGAGTGTATCACTAACTGTCATGTCCCAAATGAAAAAAAATTGCCCACCATTATATTTAATGATGAAAATTGATAAGATTCTTCATACAGCATTTGCCAGTTAAAGGTAGGCAACTGGCAGGAGTGTCACATACATGGATGTAACTAAGATTTTGCCAAGGATTATATAGTATCCAATATACTCAAATTGTAACTGTTATCCTTATTTTTTCCACTCCTCTTCGTTTCGTCAAATAGGTCGATATGCATCCCAATTATCATTTTCCGTTAGAGATAACGCAAGTTTCATTTGGAAACAAGTAAGACAAAAGAGTTAAGGTGTTAAAAGTTTGAGGCATTAATGTCTAAAATAATTTGACTCATCAATATTTAGTTACAAGAATAAGTGTTTAATATGGTTGATAATCTTGGTTATTTTCTTTTATCTAAAAACGAATGTTAAGGTCCACTTCAAATCTTCAAGTTTCTGAGCATATTATCTCCGACCATGCTGTAGACTTGGTTCAAGTATTGAGACCATATGGTGTTTTAGACTTTTGGACTGATCAGGTTAGTTGTTGAACAATGATCAAAATATATTATTGCCTCAATTATAAGTCATGGGCTCAAATTTCAGTTGCTGAATGCAATGAACTATTTAATGCTTGTCATCTTGTTATGAGGATAATCAAATCAAAAGCACTTTCTTATTATATCTTTCTACATTATAGAAAGACAGCATTGCAAAATCCATAATACATTCTCACCGTCTGAACTCAAATTTGTGCTGCAAAAAAATTATTTGGCAATAATGTTTCAGTACCCTCCGCATAATTCTACTTAATGTGTGTGTGTGGGGGGGGGGGGGGGGGAATCCGTAACTTTCCTTCAAACAAGATCTTCAGTACATGTTGGTGGATTCCTTTTCTCAGAGAGGAGAGGGAGAAAAAACAGATGGAAAAAATGTTATTTTGATCTAAACTAACACATACAGCTAAGAAAGAAAGGAGTAGTAACTGATTGCTGCAGGATAACAACACAATGGCACTTGCATTTCTTTCATAGGAAATGCTAGAAATAATTCATTAGCAAGAGACGCATGCCTAGTGCGTTGGAGCTTGACTAAACTAGCCAGTGCCTTCATCTATCTACATGTCTTAATGAAATAATTCTTTGCAAGAAAACAAGATACAATTACGTCAGTAGCAACTACCAGAACAATGTCAAGGTCCCTCGTGACATGTATAATAAAGATACAATGAACCTTAAAAAAATATAGGCCAAGTATGAATACAAAATCGTTAGAAAAAAAGAAAGAACTTAATATGGAGATTGAGTATGAGTTGTAGAGATATGCTAAGGAGACAACAAATGAGACAATTGACATGCAAATTGTATTCAATAAGATGAGACTTCTACCATCTCCTATACCATATATATATATATATATATTGATCAATAACAAAAGGAAGAAGTGCAAATTGACATCTGAATTGTGCATATTCAACCTCAACAACCTTTTCTTGTTGAGAAAAAAAAATGGAAGTCTCTCCGTTTAACCACAAAACTCATAACCATGCCACACCCTGTCATTCTACAATGCTATGAACACTTAGCCAGATTAGGAGGCTCTTCTGACACCACCTTCTCTTCTTCATTGCTCAGCCACAAATTAAGTGGCCTACAGAATTGCATACCTGCATTGAAAATTTGGTTCAACTACCTCTGACACAAGTAGCACTTGTTCATGAACGCGAAGAGAAATGGGTTGATGAGCTCCTGGACGGGTCCCTAAGGCTCCTAGATACATGTACAAGAACCAAAGATGCACTACTACACACAAAAGAGTGCAGCCATGAACTACAATCAATTATAAGACGAAGAAGAGGAGGTGAAGTGGAGCTCATAGTAGAGGTTAAAAAATTCTTGTCCTCAAGGAAAGTGGTGCAAAAGGCCATTTTCAAAGCCTTGGAAAATTTGAAAGGTAATGCAAATAAATGTAGCTTTTCAATCACCAACAAAGACTATCAAACCTTGGCCTCAGTTAGCTTGTTGAAAGAGGTTGAAGTGATCACTTTCTCCATTTTTAAGTCATTGCTGAATTTTATTTCTGGCTCAACACAATCAAAACGAAGCAACTGGTCTTTGGTTCCAAAGCTAATGCAAAACAAAAGGGTATCCTACTTGCAAGAAATAGATGAGAATGAGTTTGCAAAGGTGGATGTTGCGTTGCAGTTCTTTGCATTCAACATAGCAAGCAAGTCAAATTGCATTGATGACTTGCAAAATAAGTTGGAAAGATTGGGATCCTGCATACAAGACCTTGAAGATGGACTTGAGTCACTGTTTAGGCATTTAATTAAAATCAGAGTTTCCCTTCTCAACATAATCACTAGTTGAATGAACTAGGGGCATCAGAAATTTGTAATTCATATAATCTTTTAAACAGGTATTTACAATTGATAACTCACTTGTTATTCTGATCATAAAAGTTTATGAAATGATGAATATATAATAAGTACAATTCTGATATGGAAGTTTTATCCATTTTGCTAACTTAATTCATAAAGATAGTCCAAAAAAAACACGGTTCATCCAAATATATCCATTTTCTTATTAGCATTAGATAAACCGAATAGAATTACGATATACATATTCATGACTATATATGTATTTTTCTTTTTAGGACACGGTGTAATATCATTGTCCTATTCATCTGCTGAATCGTTTTATACCAGTCAATCCAGAGGGATTGGAAACTAGTTGTAAATGTGGAAAGTATTTTTCTTACACAGAGAAATAAAGAAAAACAAGATTTGATTCCACTCTTACCTGTGTCAGACTAATACAAATAGGATAAGGAAATATGTACAAGTCACAAGACGGTTACCATGTCACCGTAGTTGAGCAGGGTACTATTAGCTACATGCATTTACATAAACATCAACAACTTAATTGATATGACAGTACAGTTACATTGTCCAAATAGAGTGGAATGTGACTCTCAAGAATCAAACACAAATGAATTTGGAAAGGTGGATACAGCTTTGCAATCTCTCATCAATCACAAGCCTTCATCTGTTTAGAATTTTCAATACCATATGGAAAATCTGGAGACTTGCATTCTGAATCTAGAAGTAGGAGTTGAACACCTCTCAAGGCAGCATATTAGAACCAGAGTTTCCCTTTTCGATATCTTCAACCACTGGTCAGAGAAAAACCACAAGATAACTGTGAACACCCAAATCCAATTGCCCCAGAGTGTCTCAAAGTTGTACAAAAATGTAATCAAATCTTGTTCTGTAACTGAATATATATTATCTGATTAAATTATCGTCACTTTACTCTCTTTTTTTTCTAAATTCAATACGTTCCCACAAACATATCATCTTTCAATTTTCATTTTTTTTTCACACTCCAGTTTTATAATATGTAAAGTCTTTAGAGAGGGTAAAATAAAGACTAGACTAAATATAAAATACTCAAGTTAATCTTCCAAAGATACAAGGTATGTCAAGATGGTCCTATAAAGATTTTGGATAATAAAATAAATTAGAACCTTTAAGATGAATATCAATTTTGGCCCTTAATGTATATTTTGACATCAATTTAATCCCTAAATTTATGCTCGTTTTGCACTACTAAGAACCAAATTAATGTCCAAAACCTACGGATGACCAACTTGATATCCCTGGTATCTTTGGAGGTCAATTTGAGGATTTAATTTGAAAACTGTTTGTATTTGAACCGGAACCAACTCCATTTGTAGATGATGATCCTCCAACAAACCTCATCAGAACATGTAACATCCCCTTCCCCTTTAATTTATGATGATATGAGGAGTTTTTAGTAGATTAATTGGTGATGTTATCATGGAATACATGCTTGTTTTGGGTGTTTTTATTTTTTATTTATCTTACATTGATTGGTTTTTATCATTGAATGCTCTATGTAGACAGGATCCAAGCCTCCAACAGCTGTCTGATGAACGTTTCTTTGATGCTAACTGTTTCATTAGTTTACTCATTTCTTCAAACTGCAACAATGTTATTGCAAAGGCAAGTCCACAATTGATCCGTAATTAGAGAGAAGAAACTCCAAAAAATGTGTGGTGCATGTTTTCTAATCTTCAAAGTGATGTAACTTTGCCAAAATAGAAAACCATGTGGATAGTTAATCATCTCCATTTCGGAAACACAATAAAGTTTAATGTATATGTTGCATACTTCCCTGCATTGCATATTTCCCTTCCAAGCAAGTTCCTTTTCATCAGATATTGTATGGTGCCTGCACCCTTTTTGTGGTATATGTACCTTGCACCTTTTTATTTCATGTTTCATATCTGAAGATGAAAATTCATGTTCCCTTTAATTGAGCGGACAAGTTTGGTGACTGAATGCTGTTTAAAAATAGAAACAGTTCCTCTACCTCCAGACAAAAGCTTCCGTTACAATGCATGTACCACTAAGTTTGAATTATTTTTATCAACAACCTTTAAAGATACCATTATTCAAAGAACCATGTGATGCCCAAGTAAAAACCTATAGGGGTGAGTTGGGAAGCCTGGTGAGTAGGAAGCATTGAGTAAACTATACCTTTGTAGATTTGAGATTCAAATCATGATGATAGAATTGCTAGTCCATTTTGTGACACCAAGGAAAAAAAATATTCTACTTGTCTCCCTCAACCCACATGCTATATATGGAGCAGATGGAAAACACAAACTCAGAATTCAGAACAAATAGTGCATATCATTTCCTACTCCTATATCCCTCTTTAGTCTTATCTAACAAGGAAATGGAAACAAGCACAAAGAACTCTCTTCACATTCGGTGCAACAGTTTACCCTCAGCACCTCACCCCTTTGTTTCACAATTCCAGGAGCACTTGCAGAGATTGAAGGATTCTGAAGCCACCAGCACTTCTTTGTCATCATCTTCAATTAGCCAAAAACTAATTAGCTTGCAGGATTTGCATGACTATGCTGATAAGTTGCTTCAATTGCCAACTATCCAACAAGCCTTGGCACTAGAAGGCAATGACAAGTGGGTTGATGACCTATTAGAAGGGTCTATGAAGCTCCTAGATATTTGTAGTACAGTCCAAGATTGCCTCTTGCAACCAAAGGAAAACATTCATGTAGTTCAGTCAATTATTCGAAGGAGGGGTGCTGACATTGAACTCACAGTTGAGGGTGGAAAATACTTGGCATCTAGGAAAAAGATGAAGAAGGCAATTCAAAAGGCCTTAGATAATTTCAAAGGAATAAATAATGAGTTAATGGTTTCTTCATCGAACAAAGACAATGAAATTTTGTCTATCCTTGGCATCTTAAAAGAAGCAAAAGCAGTCACTATGAGGTCATTAGAATCTTTGTTGTTGTTTGTCTCACAGTCCAAGAAGAGCAGATGGTCAATAATCTCTAAGCTGATGCAGCCTGCAAGAGTGACTTGTGACTCTCAAGAATCAGACACAAATGAATTTGTAAAGGTAGATGCAGCTTTGCAATCTCTCATCAGTCACAAACCTTCATCTGTTGAGAATTTTCACATACATTTGGAAAATTTGGAGATTTGCATTGAAGATCTAGAAGTAGGTGTTGAACATCTTTCAAGGAAACTCATTAGAACAAGAGTTTCCCTTCTTAACATCTTAAGCCACTAGTTAGAGAAAAAAAAATCTAAATGTTGAATGTGGACACCCAAATTAAATTTTTGTCCCACAGCTGTACATAAATGTGATCAAAACTTGTTCAGTAACAAAATACAATTTTACCTGAGGATCAAATTATGGCCAATTTATCTCTCTTTCCCCTCCCCGTTACAAAGTTTATTTTACATCTCATCTTTCAGTTTTCCTGCATCCCTCTATTTTCCTTTTTAAGTTTATTATTTATTTATTTTTAGTACTGGAAATTTTTGCCTGTGTCTGAGCTGTGTTTGCTTGATTGAATAGATAGAAGAAAAGGAAAATGTGGAAGCTAGAGCAAAGATTAAAAGTGAAATTGTATTTTCTCATATTTTAATTGTAATAGTAAGTATAAAGTTATTTTGATTCTAAACTAGAAAGTGTAAAGTTTTTTATATATTTTATTTTTTCATGTTCTCACTTGTCACGCATTCAACCAAGCATATCTCAAAAGAAAGAAAAGGTAAAATAAATCTTTATTCATTTTAATGCCTAAACAACCTGATGACTGATATGCCCAAGTTACCAACTAAAAGTTGAATTAAGAGGATCCAATAGATTAACATTTTCTCTTTCTCTTTCTTTTTTCTTTAATTCAACTATGAATTCCATAACCCATTTCAAACCTGTATTTCTAGACATTCGATCACTTTATTTATATTCTTATCTCTAATGAATGATCGAGGAGGAAAGGTATGCGGAAGTGGCATACAATAATTTCTTAATTAGAAACCCCACCCCATCAATTATTATGCTCACATGGGATTTAAAGTCAGTTTGAATCCATAACCCCAAGTGTGTGGTAAGGTTGATGATTAAACAAATGTCAAAATTAAGTGTCAGCACATGTTCTTTTATTTCATGAGCTGAAATTCAATGAACAACGTGATTTTGTCTTCCTGTAATGAGGGAAAAGGCAATTAGTTGTCAGTACCTTATATTGATATGATTCATTATTACCTTCATTCCGAAAAGACTGCAAAGAGAGTCGTTGCTAATATGTACAATTAATTCAATCTGTAAAATGGTTCATTTATAACCAAAAGCGATTGATATGATCCTTCTCATGCAGCTGATGATTCACATTTAAGGTTGTTCTGTTTGCAAAAAATAATTTTAGACAAATGTTATCCAATACACTTAAGGATTAAAAAATGGAAAGTTTTTATTAAAAAAAAATTATATTAATGCATTTCCAACATAATTTCTAATGCAGCCTAATGTGATTTTCAATAAAAAATAAGTTTCTATTTATTGATTCTTTAGCCAATGCACTTCCATAAATTTGTATGTGCATTATTGCAATGAGGAAAGACCTAGCAATCAGGCAATGCCACTCGTGAGTTGAATGCATTGACTACACAAATATGATTACTGCAAGCGTGTGTTGAGAGAAAAAACAAGTCATGAGTTGTAGTGTTCCTATCGCAAGAGACACTGCATTAACATTACTGAGATCTTCAATAAATCTGAATCTTAATCAGTTAGCCCTCGTGGATTTTTGTAAATATTTGATTATTTCTGTCTCCTGAACTTCCAATATATATTGTACTAATCTCAATGGAAAGAAGGTAGATCCAAAGACCCAATTGTACAGATTCAACTTCAAGGCCTTTTCTCTTCTCTGAGAAAATGGTAACCACTCCTTTTAGCCCAAAATCTTCTCACCAACCTCGCTCAAAGAGCTTGCCCTGTAGACCACACCCTCTCATTGTACAATGCAATCAACACTTGGGAAGTTTAGAGGCTTCAGACGCAACTTCCTCTTCATCATCATTGTTTCACCACAAACTAAGTGGTCTTCAAACTTTGCATGATTGTGTTGAAAAGCTGGTTCTACTCCCTCTTACTCAAAAAGTCTTGATCCAAGAGCATCAAGAGAAGTGGGTAGATGAACTTTTGGATGGATCTTTAAGGCTCCTAGATGTGTGTACTGTAGCAAAAGATGCTCTGTTGCATACAAAGGAATGTGCACGTGAACTTCAATCAATTATGAGAAGAAAAAGAGGAGGTGAAATGGAGGTGACAGCAGAGGTTAGGAAATTTTTGGCCTCTAGGAAGGTAGTAAAGAAGGCAATCCTCAAAGCATTGGAAAATTTGAAGGCAACTATGAAGAAAGGAAAATCCTCTCCTAGCAACCAGGACCACCAAACTGCAATCTTGGTTAGCTTGTTCAAAGATGTAGAAGTAATCACACTTTCCATATTGGAGTCACTGTTGAACTTCATCTCTGGACCAGTACAATCAAAACCAAGTAATTGGTCTTTGGTTTCCAAGCTAATGCGCAACAAAAAGGTTACATGCACACAAGAATCGGACCAGAATGAATTTGCTGATGTAGATGCTGCGTTGCAGTCATTTGTACTTCACATGAAGTCAGATAATATCAATCATTTGCAGAATCAATTGGAAAATTTGGAGTTGGTAATTCAAGACTTTGTGGAAGGGCTTGAAACTCTTTTTAAACGATTTATTAAAATTAGAGTTTCCCTTCTTAACATCCTCAATCACTAGCTGTACAAATCCATATGATATGTTTTGTAATTATGTGAAAGTAATTGGATTCTAATATTTAGTTTTAGATGAAAATTATTCTCAACCTTTTTTGTTACATATATTGTTTATTTCCTGGGTAACTCTTTATTTGCACATATGACTTGGCGTAATTTTGGCACTTTGATGTATATTCCACATCAAATTTAAAACATTATCCATTATTATGGCCGTAAAAGTAAGCTTATAAACCACAATATGTGCTAATCCCTTGCTAATGGTTATCAGTAATGTGCTTTTTTTTCTGCATGTATTTGTACCGTTAGCTAGTCCCATGGTTATATCATTAATTTTGATGATGACAACCCCTTAAATGAAGTGCTAATGGCTTTTAGTGTATACAAGTATCGTTTAAATTTCTCAGAAGAACTTAGTGTGATTAACCATATTTTGGAGGCCAAACAATTATCTCTACTTGACTAATAGGATAAGGATCAAATGGTATGTAAGGCATATATCTATAACATTGAGATATTGATGGTTAATACTAATAATGGTTTGAAGGGTTAGAATCAATAAAACTTCATATCACTAAAATCTTTGGTCTTGTCCAACTCCATTACGCATTTAAAAACTCCTTTTCAATCCAATACTCAAGAAAACTACTGCATAAACTTCTAGGTAACTTTAAATGTAAACTCTGTATAAATCACACCCTTAGTTTTGCTATAACACCCTGACTAAGATTGGTTTAGATTAACAGAACCCCACGTCTCCTCTAACGTATACCCCTATAATCTTTGGTTGCACAAACCTAAGGAAGAAGGTTTGAGCTTTCCAATTATAAAAAGAATAATAAAAATAGGAAGCAACAAACGAGTACATGATTTCTGACCTGTCCTTGCTATTTTTCTGATCATAGGATCAAAAGAAAAGGATACAAGAAATTATTAATCACCTCCACTTGGGAAAAAGAATATTCTGAAAAGATAATTATAATGTGAACTTCTGCACACCAATTTGCATCAATTAGTTCTTCACATGTTAATGAGACAGGTAATAGGCATTGAGCTGGGGACACTGCATAAACATTGCCACCAAGAAATGATCAGTATATTAGTAGTTGAAATTGAAGAGTCCTCTTGCCATCAATCTGTCCACTATCCTGCTGTAAGCAGACAATTTCATAGACTGAAAGTCAATTATGTTAGAAAACAGCTCCGCTCTTCCTCCAGACAAAAGCTTAAATTACAATGCATGCATCACACAGCATAAACTATATTATATTGTAAAGATGCCACTTTCCATGAATCCATGTGATTCCCAGCATACAAGTAAAAAATTGATCTTGTCATAATTGCATACCCATTTGGTGACATTTGATGGAAAAAAAAGTTGTTTTTGTCTCCCATAATTCATTTCTTCATTTGTTATATATAAAGCAAAGCCAACCACAAAAAACTCAGCATTTGAAACTAACTCTATATATTACCTTCTAACCATCTATTTTTGGAGAAAAAAAAAATGGCAATCGCTGAAATTAACACAAAGATCTCTCAGCATCTTCGCAGCAACAGCTTGACCTCTGCAGCTCATCCACTTGCATCACAATTTGAGGAGCATTTGCATGGATTGAAGGGTTCTGAAGCCACTTCTTCATTGTCATCATCTTCTGTGTGCCACAAACTTAATGACATGCTCGATTTGCATGACTACACTAATAAGTTGCTTCAATTGCCAATTGAACAACAAGCCTTCGCACAAGAATGCAATGATAAATGGGTTGATGAATTACTAGAAGGGTCTCTAAGGCTCTTGGATATATGTAGTACAGCTAAAGATTGTCTTTTGCAATCAAAGGAATGCATGCATGAATTACAATCGGTGATCCGAAGAAAGAGAGGCACTGAAACTGAATTTGTAGTTGAGGGTGTGAAGTACTTGGCTCTAAGGAAGAAGATGAAGAAGCAAATTCAAAAGGGCTTGGAAAATTTGAAAGCAATGAAAAATGAGCTCATTCCTTCTTCTTCAATCAAGGACAACAAGCCTTCATCCATGCTTAGCTTCTTAAAAGAAGCACAAGCAATTACTTTGAGCTCTTTAGAACAATTGTTACTTTTGATCTCAGACTCAAAAGGACACTCAAAGCACAGAAGATGGTTAGCAATATCCAAGTTGATGCAGCCTAAAAGAGCAGTTTGTAACTCTGAAGAATCATACACTAATGGATTTGAAAACGTGGATGCAGCTTTGCAGTCTCTCATCAGTCACAAGCCTTCATATATTGAGAATTTTCACAGTCATATGGAAAATTTGGGGATGTGCATTCAAGATCTAGAAATAGGAATTGAGCACCTCTCAAGAAAATTAATTAGAAATAGAGTTTCCCTTCTTAACATCTTCAACCATTAATCATAGAATCTATATGACTTTTGTGCACTCAATTTTCCCCCCATGAGTGTCACACAATTGTACATGAATGTGATTAAATCTGTATATATTTTACTGAATACATATTATTCAAGGATCAAACTGTTGTTGCTTCATCATCTATTTCTTTTGCATAGTTCCTATATGTACCTCAATTCTCATCTTTCAATTACTGTTTTTTTAAAAACAGAAGCAGAAACTTTTTCTTTTTATTTAGTTCACCTATAAATGTTATAGTATTTTTTATTTTTTATTTTTTATTTGTAAACATGCTATTGGTACAGGTACCAATGCCATGTTGCTAATCCTATCTTTTAATCAAGTTTTACTTCTCCTTTCTACGAAAAATAAAATGAAAGGATGAAAGAAGAGGAGTAAGATAATATAATTTAAAAACTCTTCAAATCAAGCATTGAGCCCACACGATACTTCATGTCAATTTGAAGGCATATCCTAGTTGTCAATCTTACAACAACTGCCATTAGGTGGATGATTAAATCCAAACCTAATCCCAGCACTTGTTCTCAAATCTCAAATATTACATGCCAAGGGACAAGTGGTTTACCACATTATCAGAACATCATCAAATATAGCTCATTACAAAATCATGAGCTAACACGCCTTTATACTAATATTTTTCTTTTGGGTCAAAACCTTTATACTAATGTTGTAAAAGGGTGGTGTTTTATATTTTTTTTATCAACGAAAAAATAAAAAGAAAAAGAAAAAGGGGTTTCTTTTTTTGGTCCAGAAAAAAGAAAAAGGGTGACATAAAAAATAAACAATATTAGTGCCAACATCTCTACCCATCGGCCCAGATCCAGCTATTAGCCGTTGGTCCAGATGAGTACTCCGATCCGATTCAAACTGGCCTCTGTTGCTTTTAATTTTGGGCCCAGTGAATCCGAACACCAGATCCAAAAGATATAACATTTAAAATATGAATTTCATTTAAATATATTTACATTGTCATTCACTGTCATATTAGGAAGAATTATTGTTTTTCAATAATTAATATAAAAATTATGTTAATTTGTTTTAATTAATTAATAGTATAAAAATCTTATATTAATAATGCCCTGAAATTAAACTCTTAAAATATATTAACAGTTTGAATAATAAAATAAAATAAAATATATATTTATGGTATTAATTAATAAAATTTTGATTGTATTTTAGTTTCTTTAATTTGAACTACATAAAATTTTATTCTTTCAAATTTTTTAAACTAATTAAGTTGTTCTATTATTGAAGTTATGCAAATTTGATCTTATTGTTAACATACTTCGCCTAAAATCTTTAAATTGTTATATTTTATCCAAATAGTTGAGATTTTATGATGGATTTGTGATAAATGATAGTTTGAAAAATTTAGAAGTCAAGAATTTGGTGGTGGTTTAGTAAAATTTGAAAGATTTTACAAAACACGAGATATAATGGTTTGAAAAGGAGAAAAAATGAGTTTGGATGAAATTTGATGTTTCATTTATTAGTGTGGAAGAAAAGAGAGTTTAAAATGATTTCATTGATTCAATTTATGAAGATTTTGAATAGAAAATGATAATTTAAAGATTTTAGGTAGAAAGATCAATAACAAAACAAAATTTATTTAATTTTAAAAAATGACTCAAAAAACTTAAAAGACCAAAATTATATATTATCTAAACTAAAAGGTTAAAAAATCAAATTAAGTTTTTAAAAAATCCCGATAAAATATACCGAATCTTAATTTTAGATATGAAGAAATAGCTTAAAATTAAGTTATAGATGAGTTTATGTATGAATCCTAAGCAACAAGTACAAAGGAAAAAAGTAATTCGTTGGACAAAATGGAAAATGTTTAACCCCAAACTTTGCTCTTAATATATAAATAGTTATACCAATAAAAAATTGATTATAAAAATGTATGGCCTTTATGCCTGGCCAACTGAGGGCAAAGTGATGCAAACTACTTTAATTTACACATGCACATAACTCCCAATAATTTAAATGTAAATTTTCTTCGTAAAACAATTGGAACAAAGCAACACATACATCAATGCCACTCACTCGTTGGATATAATATTAAATATAACAGATAAAAGACTATTTTTAGATGCGCGTTAAATTTTTTTCTATATATATCTCTATTTATCGTGAAGTTTATATTAATTAAACACTTATTATTACTCATATAAGTGGATAAGTATGTTTATTTAATATGAGTTATTAATTTGACTATTTATTATGGATATTTTTCAAGTACTATAATTTATAATTATTTTTCTTATTAATTTTAATAATTTTTTTTTCTTAGAATTGATGGGATTAGAATAATATATAAAAACGATATTAATGTGATTATTATATAAGTGGGGGAGAAAACAAGAAGACGTATTGAATAGCAGAGTATCCCTTGTGGGAGACATATCTAACATTTCTGTGATATATATATATATATATATATATATATAAACGATAATATTTGTTTATCATATTCTATTCTATTCTATTCGCAAATCAATTGCAACGAAGCAACTGATTGCATTCATGCCACTCGTGAGCTGAATATATTAATTGACACGGACGAGTGTCATTATCATAATATCATTGCACGTTAAAGTGAGGGAGAAAACAATATGTATGAGTTGGAGAGCTTCCTTTGTGGGAGACATTGCTCTAACATTTCTGATTTCAAGATTCAGATTAACATTAATTAGAACTCACTGAGATTTGTTAACATGAGATTCCTTTTGTCCCCTTTACCCATATTTTATGTTGAGCAAAGGCCAATTCACACGTAAATTATATAGACACGTTCAAGTTTCATGTCAATTACATGCACCATTAAATAAGAGCTTGTAAAAGTTAAAACAATTTTATAAACTAACTTTTAAAATCAGTTAGGCTAAAGTTGAAATTTAATATAGCATTAGAGTCTATCATAGATAAGATATTGAGCTACCTTGTTGAAAAAAAAAAGAACCTTGCAAGCTCTGCAACTTAAAAATGATTATAAAGTTTATTTTTGCAATTGATATATTGCAGCACCAAACATTGAGCTTGATGGTGCCATGGGTAGTGGGCACAAGAGACGCAACACTTGTTCCCCAAGCCTAGCAAAACCCAAGCCTGAAGCCTGTGTTTTAGCCATCTAAATAGTCCTCTACATGCACATGCACATGCACATGCACATGCACACGAGGGGTAATAGTGACACAATGAAATATAATTTATGTTTATATATTAAAAGCCAAAACAATTGTTGCCAATCGTGCATTGCATTATTGTATATTAAATAAGACAAACACCATGTCAGGAGATTCTTTGTGGGAGACATAGCTCTAACATTGACAAGCTTATGTTTATATCCAAATCTTTATTAGTTAGCACTCATTGATTTTGTTTAAGATGAGATTCCTCGGGTCTTCAATTAATACCCATTATATATATTGAGCGTGTGGAAGTGGAAGGAACTCAGATCCACAGACTCAATTCTACATTCATCTTAAGTTTTTCTCTTCTCTTGAAGCAAAATGGCAAACTCTTCTTCCAACACAAAATACCATTTCCATGCTCGCTCAAACAGCTTGCCCTCTAGACCACACCCTCTCATTCAGCAATGCAATGAGCTCTTGGAGAGGTTAAGAGCTTCCCATGAAACCTCTTCTTCATCTTCATTGCTAAGCCATAGACTAGGAGGCTTGCAAGATCTGCATGAATGTGTTGAAAAGTTGGTCCAGCTTCCCCTCACCCAAGAAGCCCTTCTCCATGATCCTCAAGAATCTTCGGTAGATGAGCTTTTGGATGGATCTTTAAGAGTCCTAGATGTGTGCACAGTTGCCAAAGAATCTCTTTTGCATACAAAGGAGTGCATGCGTGAACTTCAATCAATTATGAGAAGAAGAAGAGGAGAAGAAGTGGGAATCACAACTGAGGCTAAGAAGTTCTTGGCTTCAAGGAAGGTGGTGAAAAAGGCTATTTTCAAAGCCTTGGTGAATTTGAAGGCTATTGCCAAAAAGTGCAACTTCTCTTCTAACATCAAAGGCCAACAAACTGGAGCATTGGTTAGCTTGTTAAGAGATGTTGAAGTTGTCACTCTTTCAATATTTGAGTCATTGTTGAACTTCATCGCTGGATCAACAGAAGCCAAACTAGGTACCAGTTGGTCTTTGGTTTCCAAACTGATCCAAACCAAAAGAACTGGCTGCACTCAAGTAGCAGATGAAAGTGAATTCTCCCAAGTGGATGCAGCATTGCAGTTCTGTGTACTTCACATGACAAGCAAGTCAGATAACATCAACAATCTGCAAAACCACTTGGAGAAACTGGAGTCGCGCATTCAAGACTTTGAAGAAGGGCTTGAGTTTCTGTTTAGACGTTTGATTAAAATAAGAGTTGCCCTCCTTAATATTCTCAATCACTAGTTGGCATATATGTGGAATCAAATTTTGTAGTAGCATAGCATAGATATACTTCTATACACAAATCATAATGTAAATAACTAGTATAGCAATAATAAAATGAAGCTTTTTACTCAAAATTTGTTGCGATATCACCGTTGAGATTTTATTATTTCCTGACTTTAATTAAATTACTTCATGACCTTATATTTCAATTTTCAAGTATCTAAGGCATCAGCAATTTTCTTCTTTCATCATAAAAAGTCCCTTATACATTTCTAATTTAATTAACTCAAATGGCAGTATCAATTCTGAGGTGTATCCATGAAGCAGTTTTGTGTTACTTATGGGCATAAATGACCATTGGCAATGAAGACTCGTAAAGGTGGACCGCAAGTGGGGCTAATCAATAAGCAGAACTTTCACATTTTCAACGATCAGAGGCTGATTAAATATTAGTAGACTAATCTCACATGCTTTTAGCAATAAACGAGATCTGTTGTTCCTCTAATAGAAGCAGCCCAACTCAGCTATAATAAGAAAAACATTTATTTTTATCAGCAATAAGAAACACAATTTAAAAGAATAAATTTCAAAAAATTAACTCATCAGAAATTTGAAACACTGATCAAAATCGTGTAGTTTCCTTATATAAAAGCAAAGCGAGGATTTCATGCAACTTTCATGCTAAAAATTTGTTAAACATTCCTTCTATTTTGTTGTAATTTAAAATTGTAATTTTCTAGCAGTGGTCAAATATTTCCTATCCACTTTTAGTTAGTTTTACTAAGTGATCAAATAGTTATCGACTGGATAAGTTTGTGTCAAACTGATAACATAAACTGATAAAAAGAAGCTATTCCATAATACGTTAAGGCACATAGTCTTTGATCTATGTCAGAAAGAGTCCTTGGTCTAAGTAATAGGAAAAATATATAGATGGAAAGAGTTATTCATGTCTAATTGTATGTTTCAAAAGAAGAACCATGCAAGTGTGACTTAATCATTTGACTATAGGACTGAAGGTAAGTATCATCCATTTCTTATACTTTGATCATAGTTGTAATGTTTTAAATCATCTTACACGCCAAATATTTTTCTGGTTCAAATATTTAATTTAGATGGTAAGCTCATAGCTAAGACATCACGTTCATTGGCCATTTGACAGTTTTATATTAAATGAAATGCAACAAAGAAACAAAGGCTCAGGCTCCACCTCCCCTTCTGTTCACTCACACGTTGTTAGCTTTATTTTAATGCACGGGAACAAGAAGTTATGCAGTTATTGCTTCTACAAGAGAGACATGTCCAGCAGTACTGCAGCCATTGTTTTTAGCCATCAGAGTACTCCACACGTGTAGATGAATTACATTATTGAACGCAAGTTTTTGATAGTAAATGATTTGCATTGAAAATGTCATAATCATGGAAGAGAGAGAGAAAAACGAAACAAAATATTAGTTGGGGAGTTTCCATGTGGGAGACACTTATCGAACATTTTTGTGATAATGTTTAGATCCAAATCTTGATTAGTTAGCACTCATTGATATTTGATTAAGATGAGATTCCTCGTGTCCCCAACACCCATAATATAAATTGTGTACATGGAATTGGCAAGAAGGTAGATCCATAGACTGAATTCTATAGTCTAACAACAAGGTTTCTCTGCTCTTATACTAAGGGAAAATGGCAGCATCTCCATTGAACCCAAAATCCCATTTCCATGCTCGCTCAAAAAGCTTGCCCTCTAGACCACACCCTCTCATCCTACAATGCAATGAGCACTTGGAAAGATTAAGGGCATCCCATGAAACCTCCTCTTCCTCTTCATTACTTAACCAAAAGCTAGGAGGGTTGCAAGATCTGCATGAATGTGTTGAAAAATTGTTCCAACTTCCTCTCACTAAAGAAGCACTTCACCATCATTGTCAAGAAAATTGGGTAGATGAACTTTTGAATGGATCCTTAAGGCTCTTAGATGTGTGCACAGCCACCAAAGACTCTCTACTGCATACAAAAGAGTGCATGAGAGAACTTCAATCAATTATGAGAAGAAGAAAGGGAGGTGAAGTGGAGCTCAAGGCAGAGATTAAAAAATTCTTGGCTTCAAGGAAGGTGGTCAAGAAGGCCATCTCAAAAGCCTTGACAAATTTGAAGGGTACCACAAAAAATTGCAACATTTCATCTACAAACAAAGAAAATCAAACACTAGCTTTGGTTAGCTTATTAGAGAATGTGGAAGTAGTCACTCTATCAACATTTCAGGCACTACTACACTTTATATCAGGGACAACACAATCAAAGTCAAGCAATTGGCTTTTGGTTTCCAAGTTAATGCAAACCAAGAAAGTAGCTTGCTCACAGTTAGTAGATGAAAGTGAATTTGCCCAACTTGATGAAGCATTGCAATCCTGCATGTTTTCCCAAACAAGCAAATTTGACAACATGACTAAGCTTAAAAACCATTTGGAGAAACTGGAATCGCTTATTCAAGATCTCGAAGAAGGGCTTGATTTTCTGTTTAGGCGTTTGATTAAGATTAGAGTTGCCCTTCTTAACATTCTCAACCACTAGTTAAGATTATCTGTGGCATCCAATTTTTGTAATGGTATAGATATACTTTGACATGGAAATTGCAAATGTAAATATCTAGTCATAATACACCGAAACTTCTTCATATCTTAGTTGCAGTATCATCATTGAAAAATGATCATTTCGTGACTTCAGTTATTTCATGACAATACTTTGAACACGTATTATTTGAAAGTGGGTTTAAAATACATTTTTTTATTCTTCTTTATAGAAAAAATTGATGACAGAAATAAGTAAAGGTAGCACTGTTAATTTTTCTCTAAGTTCAGCAAATTATTCGTTTCATTAGGAAAAAAAAAAGAACTTAACATTATCACAATCACAGACATTTGGACTCATATATCACATGCTTTTTGCAATGAAAGAGATCTGTTGTTTCCTCGAGTAGAAGCAGCCCAACTCAGGGGATTCTAACATGAAAATATATTTTTTTAGTTGTCCAAAAACATTATTTTTTAGTAACAAAAAAACCCGAGTGCAAGAGAACTTGATACCCAATTTATGTATTTCAACCTTACAAATACGTTGTTAGTACATATTACCAGTTAGCAATTGACTCGGAACACATTATATCTCTGTCAAAAGGGAGTACAAGGATAAAGAGGTTAACCTCATGATTGCATGCAAATCTACTATATTTTCTTGCCTATCGCCCTTTATATAATTAAAGTGCGTTAGATAAACCAGTGATTCATTCATAAATTTATTTTAAAAATTTTTGTTAAAATATCTACATCTGATTTAGAAATACTTCTTATAAAACTTAAATACGTTCAGTTACTATAATTTATCCTTTGATTTTGAATCTAACTTTAACCGAGAGAGTCTTGTTACTTCCACATAAAATATCCCTCACATGTTCATTTACTTTTCATTCCCCGCATTTATACATGGTATGTGATATGGTATCTTAATCCAAAAAATTTATATCAATAAACAAGAGATACGTGTTAAGTTAAAAAAAATATTATTATATATAATTTATTTAAAAGTATATTATTTACTAAATAGATCTATTATTATTATTATTATATATTGTATATTAAATTTCTTATTTTATTTTTCTATTTTTTTATAAATTTTTAATTTTGAATAAAATATAATTTCTATTTAAATAATTTCTATTTATTATAAATAAAAAATTATAAAAATATAATATTATTATTTTATTTTAAAATTTTAAATTATTTAGTTTTAAAGTAAATACTCTTTAACTTATTCAAATATAATAATTTATTATTAAATAAATTTATTATTTAAATACCTGTCTAAATATTATCACTCTAAACAATTTTCATGAATACTACCGAATTTACCTTTATTTGTTTGTTTATTCTGTCTCGTACTTTTTCCATCTTATCCACAGCCTTTTCTTTTTTTTCTTGAACTAGATGAATATAATTATACAGTTATATATGTCGAGATAGCGAGATAAAAATGTCTGAAGTTCAGACAATATAATTTACTGAAGCACGAAGACTTAAAAACTAGGACATAAGAAAAATAGGTAAACAAAAGTTGAATATGTACAAAGTATAATCTCAAGGTACGTATTGTGTTTATATCTGTGTCAATCAAGAAAATGGATCTTCTGCAGTTTATAAAAGAAATAAAGAATTTCATAAAAATACAGCAACATCGATCCAAGACAAATAGTTGATGTATTATTTAATATATTTTTATTCATGATCCTTTTAGTTATACGATATATAATTTTTGTGATTAATTACCAGCAAAGCATTAACATGTCACGTGAATTTTGTCACTTTGTAATAATTTGTTTTTCTATTGCTCTCCCATTCTCTAATGACTTTCATTGCTAGCAATTAGTTAAAATATTATTATTATTAAGACATAAAATATATTAGATATTTAAAATTTAAAAAAACACTCGTTAACATAAAATTAGGACGTAATTTAAATATAGTATCATATATATTTTTCAATCTTCTTGGGAGAAGAAACCAAAAAATAATTTCAAATATAAGAAACTGATATTTAAAGAAGAGAAATATGAAAACTATATATCGGTTCTTAAACATAAATGTTTTACTTTATTATATGAAGAGTGAACAACAGTTAAAAAGTTCACATTTTCATATTTAATATGTGGTTTAAATATATTTGTATTCCTTAAAATATATCAAATGTTGATCTTTATAAAATTATTTTTATAAATCCTACATCTTAATTTTTTTAGTTTTAATCCATTTTATTTATGTATCTTTAAAAAATGACATATAACATAAAAATTGATAAGTAAGAACATCTGAATTACTCATATCATTATTTAACAGTAATTAAAAAATAAATAATTTTTAAAAATATAAAAACTAAAGTAAAAACTAAATTTTATAAAAATCAAAGTTAAAATTTAATATATGTTAAAAGGATAAATTATATTTAACCTTAATACTATTAAATAATTTATATATAATTTCACATCACATCAATTCAATCCAACATTTTAATCTATGAACACTGTAATGTACCTTGCAAAAGATTATGGTGGCTACCACCCTTTGTCATTTCCCAGTTGAGGCTGACAAATTTGATAACCCCATATTTTGGGCTTTGTGTTCCAACTATACCACTTGGAGGAGAAAACAAAAGAAGAATTAGGATAACTATTGCTGATTAGATTTTGTTGGACACGTGTACGGTGGAGGCAGAGTAGCAAAATAAAACGAGCAATGAGAGGTAACCAACTATGATTAGCATCATGCACACTATGAATCAAAGAAGCCATTAACATCATGTTTTTGTTTCTTTCTTGCAAAATGTTATTGCCCTCTCATCACTGATTTCTTATTGGCCTAAGTGCATAAATAAATAAAACACAAGTTGTAGTGCTCTATCAATCTCTCTCACTCTACTCTCCAATCCTTATCTGCTTATAATATATAATTTGTACCCTCTGCGATCCACAACCCTTCATGTTGATTTTGATCCCTGTGTTGAATTACTGCAATTTTTATTGTTTCGACCCTCAAAACAATTATATTCAAGTAAGGTTGAACAAACATAAAATGCATTGTAATTATTCTCTATATTTTTTAGAATATATATCAACTTGTTTTTGTATATTTTTGTTCTTTTTTGTTAATTATATGTTAGTTGAGAGGTATATGAGATGGGTAGGCAAAATTCGGTTTGTCATTTTGTCTTAATCGCTTCCTGCTTTGTCTCCATTAAGAAATTGTAAAATTTCCAATATATCTCATGCACTTCCAAAGTGATATTAAAATAAAACAAATAAAAAAAAATTTCAAATTTTATAGTAACTTGAAAAATCAGCGAAAATGGCAGACAAAAATAATTATTCTATCGTGTAAGCACGTCGTGAGATATTTGTAATGCACATTAAAAATAAAAATAAAATATTAAGCTAACAACTTATTTTATATTTTAGAGATTTTTTGTGGTTCTCCTATGAAACGTATTAGCGTAGACAAGTTTTACACAAAAATACAAAATACACTCTGATATACGAAACAGTACATTTGACATTTTAAATAATACGTCTTAAAATAATTTCAATAATTTATATCAAACATTAAAAACATTTTTTTAACAAATAAAAAAAATCAAAGCAGGGTTAGGGACATAGGGAATAATTTGTCCACTTGTTTTGAATTATGTTTTGGTCGAAGCTAAAATGTAGTGTTTATGGGGTTCAATTTTATGGTTTGGGTTAGCCACGTGATGGGTGCATGGAAACATTGAGAAGGGTCAGCACTCAGCTGGATTGCACGAGATCCACAATCACGAATACAGAAATTGATGGTGGGCCTAATGGGCCCATTGATAGAGACTAATGTTTAATAATGACTTGGTATTGTGTTTTTTTCACTTCCTTAAAAATATTGGCTTATTATGTATCCCTAAAACTAATAAAGCGAAGTTAGATAAGATAGATAAAAGAAAAACTCATTACAACAATTATTATTTTTGTATATTATTTGACTATTATTTTTTATATTGCAACTGTGGACTCGTTTATTATGGAATTGGATTGATTTTTTTTATAATAAGTTTGTCATACGTGAATCTTCATTTTGTCTAGTTGAATTGTCAAGAAAATGTTTGGAGAAGGAGAAACAGATATCACGATTTTGTACTCTGTAATTGAGGTCTTTTCGTCTTCTTATTTCTCGTTTGTGAGCATTTGTGCTTTATTCACTTTGAGTATTTGTAAGCATATTTTGTGTGTTTATTGGATACCTTCTTGTACCCTTTGTTGATTATAGTAAAATATTTTTTTGGTCTAGATGACCCATAGTTTTTTGCCCTTGCTTTGAAGAGTTTTCCACAACAATTGTTTGTCTTTTATGATTCTACTTTTGTTAGTGCTCTTCACTGATTCTTGGAAATTTGAGGGAATATTATTATGCTATTTATTGTTCTTCTATTGTATTTGTGTTATTATTTTGACATTTTCCATCATAATGGTACTCGAAGCTCTTTGGTTAAGTGGTTGTGGTTTCTTAACTTGCTTTAATAATGGAGACATAGACAAGATGATTTCTTTGAATTGAGCAAACTATCATTTTTGGAAGTGCAAGATGAAATACTTGATATTTGTGAAGAATATGCATCTTCTTGTATTTTGTACAAAGAAGTTAGATTCTATGTCTAATGAGGAGTGAAGCTTTAAACACAAACGTGTATGTGGTTTTATCAGGCTCTTTAATGATGAAAATATTTATAAGCTCATTCATCAAGAGACGTATGCGATAACCTTATGACAAATTATACTTATTGGATAGTTTTGTTGAATTAAAATACAAGGATGAAATGTCTTTTACAAAGCACTTGAGTGAATTTCAAACACATTATAATCAATTGTCAGTTGTAGAAATCACATTTGATGGTAAAGTGTCAAGACTATTCATATTTATCATTGTACCTAATTCTTGGGAGACATTTCATGTTTTCATAATTAATGTTGCCCCTAATGGTGTTGTGTCTTTCCAAATGACAAAGACTAGTTATCTTAATGAGGAGATGATAAGGAAGACACAAGGTACTTCTTCTTAGTCAGAGGTACTTGTTACTAAAAATATGGGGAGAATCCAAAAGTATAAGAAAATTGAATGTCATCACTATTTTAAGTGGAAAGAGAATAAAGGCAAGAAGAATAATAAAAAAGAGAAGAATCATAATGATGATAATAATGTGATTGTTGCTACTAGTGGTGATCATGTTATTCTCTATGACATTGATTTAGTGAATCTTGTATCTAATGAAAACATGTAAATAATTGACAATGGTGTTACACTGCATGTGACTACTTGAAAGGAATTCTTTATATTTTAAATTTCAGGTGATTTTAGAGTTTTGAAGATAGGTAATGATGATGTTTTCAAGGTAATTGGTGTTGGTAATGTTTGCTTGCAGACTAACATAGAGATGCAGTTATTGCTTAGAGGAGTCAAACATGCTTTAGATGTTCATTTTAATTTGATTTATGTACAACTGCTTGATGATAGTAGCGATGATAATCATTTTGGTTTTAGAAAGTGGAAGCTCACCAAAGATAACTTGGTTATTGGTAGAAGGGAGAATATTTCAAAGTTGTATTAGACAAAAGTTTTGGGTGCTAGAGATATGTCAATGCCATGGATATGGAGGCATCAAAAGCTTAGTCATATCAGTGAAAAGGGGCTAAACAGTTTAGCCAAAAAGGATGTGCTTCCAAGATTAAAGAATAGAGAGTTGAAAAAATATTATCATTGCATGATTGGTAAGCGGACCAGAGTATTCTTCAAGAAGCATTATCCTTCCAGGAAATCTAAGATACTTGAATTGCTACATTCAGATGTTTGTGGTCTTCAGAAGGTAAAATCTTGTAGTGGTGTACTTTATTTTCTTACCTTTATTGATGATTGTTCCAGAAAGTTGTGGGTCTATGTTTTGAAAATAAAAGATCAAGCACTAGAGAAGTTTAAGGAGTTTCATGCTTTAGTTGAGAGGCAATCAGGTAAGAAGCTGAAATGCATTTGTACTAACAATGGTAGTGAGTATTATGGACCCTTTAATGTTTACTAAAAGCATCATGGTATTGCACATGAGAAGACTCATCATAAAACTCCTTAGCTAAATGATTTAGCAAACAAGATGAACAAGACACTATTTGAGAATGTAAAGTGTATGCTTTTTAAAAGCTAAGTTTTCCAAGCATTTTTGGAGTGAGACACTGTACATGACAATGCATGTTATCAATCTTAGTCCTATCGTTGATTTGAACACTAAGGTGTCAAACAAAATTTGGTTTGGCAAAAATGTCAAGTATGATCATTTGAGAGTCTTTGGTTGCAAGGCATTTGTGCATGTTCCAAGGGAAAATCCAAGTTGAATGCAAAGTCAAGACAATGTATCATGTTGAGAAAAAGCTTTCTAGGAGTCATGATTTGAAGTTTATGGAATATTAAACCATTGAAGATATTGATAAAATGGAGAAGTCTACACCAAAGGAAGACAATGGCGAGATTGGTATTGATCAAATTCCATCACTTACTCAAAATTTGGATAGTGATATTTAGAATGATGTGCAACATGATTATATTGGTGACCAACATGATGAGATGAAGTAGATATTTTTGTTAATAATGATGATGGTGAAGAGGAAAATGAGATGTCACAAGATGAAAATTTTGGTGATGCTCTTGAATCACCTCAAGTTTAACTTAGGAGATCCAACAAGAGAAGACAACCATCGATAAAGTATTTTTCACATGAGTATGTGATACTTACAAATGAAGGAGAACTTGAATACTTTGAGTAGGCCATGAAGAGTGAAGAAAAGCAAAAGTGGTTGGATGTGATGAAAGATGAGATAAAGCCCCTACATGATAATCACATTTTTTATTTGGTGAAGTTACATAAGGATAAAAGGGCCTTAAATAATAGATGAATCTATAAGGTGAAGCATTCAAGTAACTATATCTATATCTCTTCAAAGTATAAAGATAGATTAGTAGTGAAGGGTTATGATCAAAGAAAAAGATGTTAATTTTAATAAAATCTTCTCACCTATGGTAAAATTGATATCTATTAGAGTTATATTGAGTTTAGTCGATACTCTTAATTTGGAGGTAAAGTAAATGAATATAAAAATTGCTTACAAGCTTGGGAAAATATATTTTTTACTATTTATTACTCTCTTATTATGTTTGTCTTATTGTGTTAGTATTCTTCATTACATTTACTCGATGGGTTTCCGAACTTCAAAGAAGAACACTCCTTTGTCAACTTTGAAACAATTTACTTGTCTTAACTCATTAGGTCCCTCTTAATCCACTAAATAAAACTACTTTTAGGGTTGAAAAAATAAATAAAAAATATTTATATCAAATTTACAATAAAAAAAACGTGTAGTTTTTTTTATTATTAAGTTGAATATAAGTAGTAGAATAATATTTATCTTTCATGTGTTATGTAAAATATTAGTACGTGTGTATATATATTTTTAATTAATTTGTACGTATATTTATTAGTTAAAATTAGTAACATTATATTAAATGAAGTTGATTTTAAAAAGTTGGCAATTTTTAAATTACATTACAGGCTTACAGCCATATATTTCTATCTTGTTTTAGAATTTTTTTTAACAAACTCTTGTTTTAAATTTTATTAGATAAATGTATTTTAATTTTTTTAATTATCTCATTCATAGCATGATAAAAATCATTTAAGAAAAATTCAAAAGTGATTTGGACATAAGCGGTGTGCATGAGGAGAAACACGGCTACATTTTGCATGATTATGAATAGAAAGGAAAATAGTAATCATATGCTTAGCGAAAATATAAAAAAAAATGTATTAAATTAAAAAATCATGAGTTGCAATCATCGAGGAATTTGAGACAGAGAATGCATTTCGGTAAAAAGTTAAGCACCTATTTAATAAATTGTTACTACATAATAGTTTGTTATAAATTTAATTATAATTTTTTAATCAGTTATATTAATAAATTTATTATAATAAAAAGTGTATAAAAAAATACAAATTATTTTTATAAGCTTAAACAAAGTTTTCATAAATTATTTCAAATACAATCGTTACAGTATAATATTAACTGGTCACAGCATATGTCAATCTGTAATGATAGGTTTGAGAAAAAATTTTAAAGAGGAAAGAACGTGGTGATATATTTTTTAATTTTAAATTAAAATAATTATATATAAAATTTATAATGATAAATGTATAATTAATTTATTAAATTTATATCAATATATCAATTTATATATTTTAATTTAAATAATATTAATTTTAAATATATTTATTTAAAGAATTTATCTTTCTCCTCCCTCTTCCAAAAACTCTCCTAAATGATAAATACAATCATAATAGTATAATATTAACATATCATTGTAGTTTTTTCGAATTAACAAGGGAAATGACAACTTTTAATATCATAATTACCCACATTCAGGCATTTTTGTTAATTAAAAAAATATTCCACACACAAGTCGCATCAACAGCTATGAGTTGTAAAAAAAAGGTCTAACAATTTCATGAGTACAATTATTTTTTTTTGGTAAACGCGTCAAAATGTCTTTCAACTTAAGTAGAATGTATGGATTTTTTTAAAAATAAAATAAAATATTCAATGTATATTTTAAATGAGTTGGAATATTCAAAATGTCAAAATTTGTATACTAGAGTTTTACTTGGGTTTCATCAACGGGATACTGATTTATTAGGTTACCATTACATGGAGTAATTTTGAGGGGTGGAAAGGCGAATTTGTTAAGAAATCCCATATTCTCAAAATAAAAATGAGTGTACTGGACAAATGAATAATTGCAATTATGGAACCAAATCACCCGTTGGTCTCTCTTTTTTATCCTTCAATTAAAAAGTAAAATATGAAAAAATAAAAAAAATTACCAACCAAAAGTGAAAATGCTAATACTTTATATTTAGAAAAAGATGGTATAGGACATGAAATGGGAAGAAGTGACTTCAATCGATCAACATACACAGTTGGGCCATTTTGGTTGATTTAACCTGTTTGTATAATTGAATGGGGAAATGCCAATCGCATATCAAGTTGAATGATAACCTGTGGAGATTAGCAAAGTCACCTCATAATAATCAACTAATGTTGCAACATGTCAAGTGGCTTGCACCCATTGAAAGTACAATCGTCAAATGTCAGCCGTAGAAATTCGCATTAATTTGTTTATATATTCATTTTCCTAAGCTTATCATAACTTTTCTTTGATTTTATGAACGGCTAGTGTTTGAAATTGACAGTTGTTTGTTTCTTAATGACTTGTTGTATATAAGAGGAGCCTAGAAACTTGGACTACGGAAAACAAGAGTCATGGACTAAAGATTTAGGAACAAACCAACATCATTTACTTATATTTTATATGCTTTATGATATAGTTGTTGGAAATTGATATATACCAAAGTTCTAAGATTTTTCCCATCTTTCTCGTGAAAACCCTGGCTCACAAGCCAATAAAGGTAACTACAACCTTCAACACCATTTGATCACATTCATAGTCTAGTAATCTGCTTTCAGTTCCCATTTCCAATTATCTAAATCTCACTCTGATCAGTTCTCTGGATTTCCATTTGCACCATTCTCACGAGTTAGATCATTTCTTGTTCTTCTTATCATAGTTCTTCCTGTCCAAGTAACTTGGTTGGTGTAGAGTTTTTATCTCTTCATTTTCCTTGGTGTTGCTTTTCATATTCCTACTTCGTTCAGGGGTTGTTTAAAGTAAGATTTTCTTTCCGTTCATAGATGTTATTTTTGTGTCACTTTTAAGTTTCTGACACAACCGTGTGTGTCTCTTGCTTTGTACTATATTGATGTAATGTATCCTTCACTTGGTTTGCTTACAGTTGGAACTTCAAAGTACAAGCTTTTTAGATTTGGAGTTTAGCTCTTTGCAAGGAATTGAACTGTTGAACACCATTATCATTTGGGGGATCTAAAATTCCAGGTTTCTCGTAGCATCGAGGCCACCACAATGGTGTCTACTTGTGTGAGCTTGAAAGCCAATACCCATTTAGTAAAATCGAGGAATGACACTTTTCGTAAAGATGATGGTTTTTTCGGTGAAAGAATCAAAGGGAGTCTGAATTACAGTCCCTGGATCATTAATCAATTGGCAACAAGTTTGAGAACCCAGGATAGGGTCAAGAAGACCAAACCTGGGGTTGTATCTGCTGTTATTACATCAAATGACACCAAAGAATCTGTGGTAAGAGTATATTCTGTTCCTGGATCCATTTTCTTGATCAGTATGATTGTGATGTGAGACCAGGTCTTTTGTTTCTGTGCCTATATATTTATGTCATTATTTGGTAAATGATTGTATTCTCATTGTGAATTTCAATTTCAGACCTTTCAAGTGCCATCTTTTTTCAGAAGAAAGGCTGACCCAAAAAATGTTGTTTCCATCATATTGGGAGGGGGTCCTGGGATTCAACTCTTTCCTCTCACCAAAAGAGCTGCCACACCTGCTGTGAGTAAATCACTGTCTTGTACTTTTGACTGAACAGGCATAACTTTTGGAGAATGACAAGAAAGGCTCAAATTTTTGGATTTGCATGTTGTAATGACACTGTACTTTTGCAGGTCCCCGTTGGTGGATGCTACAGGCTTATAGACATCCCAATGAGCAACTGCATCAACAGTGGCATTAACAAAATATTTGTATTGACTCAGTTCAACTCCGCATCCCTCAACCGTCACATCTCCCGCACATATTTTGGAAACGGAATCAATTTTGGGGATGGGTATGTGGAGGTATGTGTCAAAGATTTGGATGGTGATTTTTAGACGCCAATCCCATACATCATAATCTAGCTTTTTTTTTTTTTTTTTGTGTGTGTGTGTAAGATATATATGTTACTTAAAATTGTCAACAACTTTGGACAAAGGAAAGACTAGATCTTCACTTCACATAAAATGATAAAATATTCATAATATTATAATATATATCTTTGGACAAAGGATTGTTGACCAATCACAAATTTTTTGGTTCATGATAATTTAACAAACCAATCCTAATACTTAAACAGGTTCTGGCAGCTACTCAAACACCAGGAGAAGCTGGAAAGAAATGGTTCCAAGGCACAGCAGATGCTGTGAGGCAGTTTACATGGGTATTTGAGGTGGGAACATAATCTTTAATATATAACAAATTGCAGTATAAACTGCATGCCCCTCTTCTCTAATTCTCCTTAAGTTGAACTGAACAGTAATAATTTGAGTGTTGTAGGATGCCAAGCACACAAACGTTGAGAATGTATTGATTTTGGCTGGAGATCATCTATACCGAATGGATTACATGGACCTTGTGCAGGTAAATTGGTTAACTGTTTCATAGGTTGGATTGTCCCTTCATTTTTTTCAGTTTTTATTGATTATCTTATAATAAATCACAGAGTCACGTTGATAGAAATGCAGATATTACAGTATCATGTGCTGCTGTTGGGGACAGGTGCGTTCGGTCTTCTTTTCATGTGTTTCTTTTTTTTCATGTTTGTTTGTTTAATATCACTGTGCTGCTGGGAGAATATGAACTTCTAAATTACTTTATTCCACTATTAATATCATATTGTCTGTTTCAGCCGTGCATCAGATTATGGATTGGTCAAGGTAGATGGCAGAGGTCGCATCATCCAATTTTCTGAAAAACCCAAAGGTGCTGATCTGAAAGCAATGGTAAGTTTCGAGCTCATTCAATGTTCAACTAAAATAGGTTCTTGGTCATTATCATAGAGTTGAAAAGAAATACTAAATTTCAATCAAAGTGAGCAACTTTAAGCTTCAGCGGACTTAAACTCGATACTAACCTATCAACGTGGAACTTTAACTCGATACTATCCTATGAAGTTCATATATTTATATAGAATGGCTTGTCATTTATCATCACAAATTGATGTGCTAAATATGTTGGATGAATATGTTGTGACATAATCATGTAATCATAAAACATTTGTCTATACTCTCAATCTAATCATGTTTCTGTTGCTTCTCTGCAGCAAGTAGATACCTCGGTCTTTGGCTTGTCACCCCAAGATGCAATAAAGTCGCCATATACTGCATCGATGGGGGTTTATGTGTTCAAGACAGATGTCTTACTCAAGCTTCTGAAATGGAGATACCCTACGTCCAATGACTTCGGATCTGAAATAATTCCTGCAGCTGTGAGGGAACACAATGTCCAAGTAAGAGAAATTCCATTAAATGTATTTCCTTTCAAATGTTTTGATGTTGATCTATTCTTTAAGGAGTCTTTTCTTGCATTTAGGAGGAACTGATTACTCCTTTAACGAGGTAACAATACTCGCTGAATGTCTGTTACCTTTTTTCAGGCATATTTTTTCGGAGACTATTGGGAAGACATTGGAACAATAAAGTCATTTTATGATGCTAACATGGCTCTTACTGAAGAGGTGGGTTCCAGATATTTACTGTTGGCAAATTTCTAATTTAATGGTCTTCCTATTTTGTACGTATAGGCACTATAGAACCATGCATTAGCGACATGCCACATTATCAAAGATATGCCATCTTTGATGTTTAGTGTATTTTAATGTCATTTAGCACTAGAACACCATGAAATTGCAAACTGTAGCATACTAAATTGAAGGAGAACAAATCAACAAAGTATAACCAGTAATGGTTCCTTATATATGGAAGGTTGGGGGTTGAGGAAAGGCATAGGCCTAATTAAATATAAAATGAAACTAAGCTCAAATAGCTACTAGAATGTAGCAAACTTCAATGTCCTGAAACTAATATATGTTTTATGCTACTCTCTTGTAGAATCCAATGTTCAAATTTTATGATCCCAAGACACCCATTTACACATCTCCAAGATTCCTTCCACCAACAAAGATTGATAAATGTCGGGTATGACTTTGAACATCTATCTCAAAAGTTATTTCCTAGTTTCATGTGATGTATAGCTCATTGTGTTTGAGTTCCTTCGTAGATTGTGGATGCAATAATCTCCCATGGATGTTTCCTGAGAGAATGTACTGTTCAACATTCCATTGTGGGTGAACGTTCACGTTTGGATTATGGAGTTGAGCTCCAGGTAAGCTACACAATTTCTAAAATCTATTTAAGATTTCTACCATTTCAAAATCTAAAATCAATGAATCACCTTTCACAGGACACTGTGATGATGGGAGCTGACAATTACCAAACAGAATCTGAAATTGCTTCTCTGGTGGCAGAGAGCAAGGTTCCCATTGGGATTGGAAGGAACACCAAAATTAGGTAATCTCATCCTAAGATGACCACTACACGACCTAATTCATTATGTTAGTTTTAAAAGTAACTTAAAATATCATGTTTATATAGTAATAAAGAATTAACTTGACATATATCGAATACCTATTCTATTTAGAATATTCATCTAACATAATATTTGTTTTCTGTTGTGTTGGTTGAAGGAACTGCATAATTGACAAGAATGCAAAGATCGGGAAAGATGTCATCATCATGAACAAAGATGTGAGCATGACTTGCTCATCTTGTCTTATTTTTACATTTGAGCAAATTTGTTAGATAATAGTTTATAGTCTTACATCACCATTCATGTAGCACCAGTCATTAATTAGTGTCATGTTATGCATATTACCAATCAAATTATTTTTTGTATAGGGTGTTCAAGAAGCAGATAGACCTGAAGATGGATTTTACATTCGATCAGGAATCACGATCATATTGGAGAAGGCAACCATAGAAGATGGCACTGTCATATAAATGGCTCATAGTACTAAATTCATGGGCTGGTTGCCAGAAGTATCTGGAAGAAGCATTCCAAGGAACAGCACCGTCTTAGGGGACAGAAGGGTCCAATCGAGAAACCACCACTCCTTTTTGCTATATATGTAAAATAGAAGGTTCCACCACTGCGTGTAAAAATAGAATGAATAAATGAAGTATGAAATCAATATGCATGAAAGTAAATAAAATGAAAGGTTGAGTGTGAACCAAACTGTTATCTCCTTCAGTATTACTGTTGCTTATTATGAAGTTGACCACTCCTTGCTCACAGTTAACACAACCATATTTATCATAGTTGTTTGATAAAAAAGATTCTATGGGCTTCATAGTTCATACATTATTCTCCTTCTCCATATTGAGCAACAACCTTTAAACTATTGGTCATGATTAGAAGTGTTAGGAATGTGCAGTGAGGAACTAGCACAAAAGGACTTGATTGTAAGTCTTGAAGGTTGCATGTTTGGGAAGGGAACTTTGGTCCTTTGAAAACCTTGAACAGTAATTCATTGGCTAGCATAAAAAATTCACTTGGTATTTCATAGTGCGTAGAAGTTTTGTTTTGTTTAAAATTGATACAGACATGAAGACGCTTATAATTCGTTGCCTGCGTTGTCCCTTCATGGCCCTTTCCAAGTTTTATTGTGGGGACACTACAGGGATGAAATTCCTATGTTTTACGAAAATGACAGGGATGCAAATGTCATTTTATTAGAAGTGTGTTCTATTTTAGAACCTTTATTCAGGAATATGAAAATATTAGAAAGATTTATGTTATGATAGATGATAAACCAAAGAGATCAAATGAACGTAAATGATGCTTCTAATCAAACAAATGAAATTAGTTCAGTACATGAATGATTAATAAGGGGTGGTTTCATGGAAGGGAATAAAAGTCAGAGAGAAAGAAATAGAAAGAAAAAGTTTTTCACTTTACTAGCTTAGTAGACATGATAAAATTTTATAATATCAGAATTAAATAAGAACATGATGAAATAAACGAAGGATGTGTTTTATTTTATATTTGATGCATAATAAAATACTGTAGTCTCATGTTTTGACTATTTTAAATTTAAACTTGTCATAAAATAAAATTTATATTAAAAGAAAAAAATTCATAAAATAAAGTTATTATTTTATCATATTCTCTTATGATATTATCTTGGTTAAACGGACGTCAAAGTAAGTGTGTTATCACACCCAACTCCCAGATATTCCTTGCCATTATGTTGCAAAATGTGCCACCTAAGCATAGAGGTGCATAACAAATTGCATGGAAAATTGTCATAAGAATCTAGAGAAGATGGCTTTCTTTATACTAGACCAAATTCCTCAGATTTGGCAGGCAAACCAAGGTTTCCATCTTTTTCTTTCCGTTGCCTTTGTGTTTTTCTATTCTGTTGTATTCTCCAATGTAACCTTTGCTTGGTCCTCCCTACACTCTAGTAAATTAAACCATGTCAAAACCACTGTTTGAACGGCGTTTTTGGTACCAAGTAAACAAACTTCATTGCAAACACTGCTATTTTTCCTAAACAAATGAGCTTTAAGCTTTATAATCTAATTAAAAATTAATTGACAAAATTTTTAAAAAATTAAACCTTTAATTTTGAGTTTGTGTCTTGAAGAATTTATTGAAGTTTTACTCTAGCTTAGTTTAAGTGAGTTTATGAATAAAAGCATGTTTGTTTCCTTTTTTAAAAACAGTTTTTTGTTTTTAAAAAAGAAAATAAACATATTTTATGTCTTTTCAATAAAAAAGGAAAATAATTGAAAAAATGAATAATTTTTTTTATAAGTTAAAAATATTTTAGTACTTCAAATTTTAAAGAAGTTAAATGAAAGTAACTTCTAAAAAATAGAGAAATATAAATTAATTTAAACTTATAAAAGAGGTTTGATTCATATTACTATTTAATTTTTTATTCATAAGTACTTATAGAGAAATTTATTCAAATTAAACTTATATTTTTCGTAAAAATGTTTAAAAGTTCAGTTACGAGGTTTCAGCCATTTCCTAAACAATATTTAATCCAAAATTCATATTTAGCAATCAAATAGTGTTCTCTTTTTTCTTTTTTTTTTACACAATCTGTTCTTTTTATTTCTATAAAATAATAACGAGTTTCAATCCTGGAACCAATTTATTATCAAGTGTAATTACATAAGTGTTTATCAATAATAAACACGTAACAAAATAATAAAAGTCACTGGAAAATTATTTCACAACAAAATTGTTAGGTAGAAACACTTGCTAACATGTTTTTTCGAAGACACTTTTAGTTATTTGGCTAAAATTTAGTTTTTAAAAAATACAATATTTTATTTTTAATTTAATGATTATCACTCCTAATTTAAAAATTCTTATTTATATTTATATAATTTTAATAAATTTTAACATTAATAAGTACGTTGCAAACATTTTTCATTCTTAATAGTCTTACAACAAAGCAGACAGTAACTCCTTTATAAGATACTAACCAGTGCTTGTTTCACCCTCCTTTAGCTATTATAATATTGTCTCTGCGAATCTTTATAAGTCACTAAAATTTTACTTTTGGAAACATGTCAAGGGTACTTTCTCTTCAACCGTTCTTGCTTTATACTATTATCAAGTATTCAATATACTTTTAGATTTTGAGAATCCTAAATGTTTGAAGTGGTAAGATAAAAGCTGATCTGAGTAAATATCCAAATCACAAATTTTAGTATATACGTTTAGGATTCAAGCCCTCTGGAGAAACTTATTATCAAGTATATACAAATGGGATAATGGATAAAAGTTGCAGAACACCGTCACATTGAGGAAGCTATTGTTCGAGAATGAAATTTTCACCTCAAACGGTGCAAAATAGTATATGAGACGCCTTTAGCATGATTTTCAAACTTGTTTGGATGAAAAAATTTAAATTCTAAAAAATGATTAAATTAATAATGAAAGATATTTAAAATAAAAGTTAAATATAAAAGGAGTTACGAATAATAAATATAAAAGGCTAAGAATAATAGCGAGATTTTTTTTAATTCTCTCCAAAAACAAATCATTTATAATTATTTTTATTTATAGTTAAAATTCTACAGTATATTAAAAGTATTTTTTTCTTATCATCTAAATATATGTAATGTAATGATTTTGACCTAGTCTATCCAAACACATCCTAAAATTCAACCTGGAAGGTGCAAAGTAGTATATGAAACAACTTCAACATGATATTCTATCAAACCTTACAGTTAACACTGTCAATATAAGCTAAAGTCAGCGATTTCACTCCGGTGATAAGACAGGATTCAAGCCCTCTGGAGACATTTCTCCATTTCTCCCACACTGGATAAAACATGTTATTTCTTAAGTATATACATTACCTACCAAAAAAGATGCATGCTCCCATACATAATATCTTCATATGCATGCACTGCTTATATTGGCTTCGATTAATCCAAATATGAGATAGTAAGATAAGCAACATATTCAACGTGACTGTGTCATACATATTTCAATTTTCCATACGACTTCAAGTACATGAGTAAGCAGTCATATCCCATGTATTCCTCTCCGATTAATTCTGTGAATCACCCACTATAAACTCCATTATAAATCCATACCACCAATGACCAACAATTTCAAAGTCCCTTTGCATTCCAAACTATTATGGATCCCTTTTTCGTAAGCTCAGAGGGACTCAAACTGTTCAATGCCTTTCCCATGAGGGCCATAGCAGCAATGCTTGGAAACTGCTTCTTTTGAAACTCTTCTAGCTGAGTGTTTGAAGACTTTGGTTCATGAAGCTCTGCCAATTCATGCCTCTTTTGGGAAGATGCGGCACGATTATGACTCCATCTCTGAATCCAGGGATGTGAAAGTGTAATTTCTACAGTTTTCTTTGCTTCAGTAAAAGAGGACTTGCTATTTGTTGATACTGTTGTAGGTAGATATGATACCATCTGTCCTTCAACATGACATACTATTTTGGGTTCCAAACTAGTTTTGCTATCTTTTATAATGTTGCTGAAAGTAGTACTAGCTTTTTCGTTCGAAGAACTTTCTCCTATTTTCGTACTATCAGTACCATTAGTAGAGCCCAATGGGGATAGCTTGAGTCGTTTGACCCATCTGCTACTTGGATCCGGTCCCAAAGAACTATTAGAATTTGACCTTGAATGCTCCTCTGCATGAGAAAGGTGATCCAAATCAAGGCTGTGGGTTCTGGATGTGCTAGTCTCCCTGTCAACCACTGGACTTTCCAGAGTGAGCAGCTCATGAGGCTCTTGGTTTATATCAAGTAGTGCTGAATTTACTGATTTTGCTATGGCTTTCTCTCTAGCAGAAGTTATTGCAGCCTGAGACCTGAGCGAGTTTTGACTATCCTTGGAGCACTACAAAATTCAAAATTGGATAATTACTACCTGATTAGCCTCCTAAAGTGTTAGTACCAGCTTTAACAAGGCACAATACAATTGCTACAAAGAAAACTCTCCAGATGTGATGACAATTATTAAATTTGAAAACTAACTACAAATTCACATACTGACATTTTATGTGTGGTACATGAGCATGTGTGTGTTAAAAGTGTAGGCATGGATAAACACTGCCATTCCAATTAGCCGTTTCTTTGTATGATGCCATACAACATTCATCAGAATCACCATGAATTATAAACTAACGAAATTGAATGTATAAACTAACGAAATTCTTATTTTTCCCAAAAGCCAGACATGATGTATTAAGTGTGCAAAAACATGTTGCAATGGAAATTATTTAAATGATTAAGGAAGAAAATGGTGAATGAAAACTAAACGACATGGCATCAAGAAGATAAACATCACAAATATTACCTTATTTGTTTGTAATGGAACATCACCTGTAATGGAGAGGGAGAAGCATCATCAGTTTATCCAGAAAACAACATTAAAGCCATCAAACTTGCAGATAATATCATCCTCAAAAATTAAAACTAGGATTGAAATGACTAAAAATATGGAAACTTGAGCATTATGTAAGTAAATTAATCAAACTCAGAATATCTTCAATGTTTTTAAGTGAAGCCTTAAGTATAGCATAATATGAACATATCCATTAAAAGTGAGCATATTTACCGGGAAGACTATTCTTATGTAAGGCATCAATGTCCATAGTATCTGTTTCAGCAGATGATTCATTCTTCAGGTTTGTTGGACATTTGAAATCTTGAACATTTTCTTTTCCTTCACTTTTTATGGAGTTCCCTACAGCTTCCAGCCTCAGACCTTCTGGAGCACGGTCACTTGCGGACGGAGAGAAATCAAGGATCTCATTGAAAGCATTTCCGATGTTTTTGGTAGGTACTATTGACTCTCTAGAGAACTGACCTCTGTCAGATAAGTTAACATCAGTTTTTTTGGACACCAGAAAATGGTGAGTTGTCTGGGAAATTTTGGGACGACCTCTGGACGATTCTTCTGTGTTGTATATCTTCATAGTCTCCACATCATGAACAGAACATGGCACTTGTGCTACAACAGAGCTTACTCCATTAAAGTTTTGTGGTTTAGTTGACTCCAAGGATGCAGTCTGGTTAGTAATGTTTGGATTACAAGCGTAATTTTCAATCTCATGGTGCTGACCACGAACCAAATATAATCGTTCATCAATACCAGGTAAACGATCAGGTGGTAAATGAGCAATACCGGCTTCCATCCATCTTGAAAAGGAAGATCTTTGGGGGTCTAACAAATTACTCATATTCTTCTCACGGATTAAAAGAGAAGAATAGCTATGATATTTAGTACTTGTGAAACGCTCTTGGGATGCTAAATTATAGCTCGATTGATATATCTCACATGGTTCACGTGGGAAATGGGGCATCACAGTTTTTCCTTTGTCATGTCCATTTGGCACTATTTCAGAAGCCGATTTTACAAAGTCATTCCACAATGATGTAGAAACATCTAGCTTCTTTTGTTCAACATCCCACGGAGATTTCATCAGGACAGCCGTTGGCAAAACTTCTTGAGTCAATGCTTGACATTCTCCTACTAAAGTTTCTGTTTTAGGAGGAGCATCTGAAGATGATGATGGTAAGCCAGCTCTGGGAGTCTCAGCTATGTTGGGTGAAACATTGTCGTTTCCTGAGTAGGCTTCACTTTCTAATTTTCCATCTTCCACACGGCACACACCATTCTGTTCCCTCTGCAGGGGCAATCTTCCATCTAACTTTCCAGAAAGATTGAATATAGGAAAAGATTTGGAATCAAAGCTTGCTTTCTTTGATTTTCCAGTGTCTGCCTCACTGCTAAAGGTGGCCATTGTGGCCCTAGCTGCTTCTCCAAATACTCCAGCATGCATAGAACTGTCTATTGCAACCTCCGATCCCCCAAGCAAATCATGCTGCTCAGCACCACTATCTTCTTTGACTTCTTTAAGCTCACAATCAACCCTTAAACGATTACAAGCAGGGGTAGCTGACTTATAACTTGCTTGCATCCAATGAGCCATCCATACCGATTGGTATCCATGCATTGCTTGAGCTTCGACCCTCTCACCATCATGACATGCTTGTGCAGTAACCTCATCAGCCATCATGGTTGATAGATTAATTGACTTTCTCCAGCAAAACAACACGCCGCTATTTTGACCACACAAGCATAATCAAGAGGAACAAGTGTTCAAAACCTGGACTTCGAGAACCATAAAACATAGTTTATCAAAAAGCCATGGCATGCAGATACAGAAAAATGAATAAAACCAGATCACAGTATTTTGAACTCAACACCATCACATGAAGAAAGCAGATTCAAATTCTCGCCAACCTTATGTGAAAAAAACAAAGCAACTAAATAATCGAATATAAACTACTAACTGTATCTTTTAGTGTCAAATGAAAATTGAAATCAAATCAGTGTGATTGAATTTGACAAAGAAAAACCTATAGCAGCGGCAGATCGAACTTCCACGGAATTTCACGAAACAATAAACTCAACTAAGAAAAATCATTCGAAATCCTCGAAAATCGACGATACCTGAAAAATTCAGAGATGCAGAAGAGCGAAGTCGGCGAAACTGGGAACCGTTGTGCTGAGCAGCAGAGAAATGAAATGTGAAGAAAACAAACAGAATAAGAAGAAAAAGAAAATACAAAACGAGGAAGCAAAAGTGTGTCTACTGAATCAAATCAACGGTGAAAGGTTCGTCGCACGTGGGTCCCATGTGTATGGAATCAATCCGGCCGTTGATTTTGGTAATCCAGTTAGCTGAGAATAATCGGCTTGGCTTTGCTGCGTTAGGCTCGTGAGTGATTTCCTCAGCCACATGAATCGAGCTCGTCCCAGTGGGACCCACCTATCTGCACTTTTCTTTTTTTCCAATTGGCTGCCTCCTTTAGCTTTCTTTCTTGGGGCCTTTTTTTCATTTCTCGTATGTTTCGAATTACGTGTAATAATTGTCGCCACTTTATTTCAGTGCCAATGAATAAAATAATCAGCTTCTATTTTGTTTATGCGCTGAGCGGTTCTGAATCTTCCTTTTTGTCGAATAAGAAAAACAATCCTTTATTTTCTCCTTTTAATGAAAACATCTACACAATTAAGTTTAACTACCAAGAATGTTTCGACTTTGCTTGTCACTTATTTATGCTCCTTAAACATTTAAATTTCATATATGTTATGTTGCGTCTCCTTGTATATCTACTATTTTTGTTATCATTGTGTATTATTAGAATTAGTATTATTAATGTAAAATTATATGTTGGGTATGTACTCTTGAGTCATGTCTAAGTCTTGAGTCCATAATGGTTACCAATATATATATGAGCAAATACTTAATGGTGTATAAAAAACTATTGATAGACAACAAAATTTTAATTATTAATTTATCTTTTCAATGGTTACGATTATTTATGGCTATACTCAAGTATCACAGTTGTAATTCACAGATTGTGTACTATTGTTTTGTTAAAATAAATAATGACTTATATTTTAAAGTGTTTATAAATATTCCACTTCTTTGCCTTCTTGTTGAACTGGTATTACTATCATCTACACCGCCTCCTTAAAGCAAATCTAGTGAGCTTTTGAGTTTCAAAGGCTTCACTAATCAAAGAATCTTTTAACATTTGTATTTAATTTATTTAATTGTCATTAAAATAACAAGTTTTTATAAAATTTCATTAATTAAATTGAAATTTTTATATTTATATAAATTTAAATTTGTTGCTTTTTATTTTAATTTATATTTTATTAAATTTAAATATTTTAAAAAATGCTTTTTAAATATACATTTTTATAAACCGGTATGATATATTTTCAAAAAACAAAACTCTTTTGTTATGAAAATATACGGTCAAGTAATAATAGTATTTGAAATTTTATATTAACTATATATCAGAATAAAATAAAATAACTTATCATTCACTGGTAACAAGTAATTTCCTGTAACATGTTAATTAAGTTTTCTGTCAATTAACTATGACATGTTTGTGCATATTTTTACTATTGTATTTACTCTACACTTATAATGCGAATCTAATAATTTTGTAATAGCTCTTTTTTTCACAGAGATTTTGCAATGTACGTTCGTTATGATATGATTCTATTGTTGTCCTTTCCAATAACGATGTCGGTCACGTGGATATGCATCTTTACTGTACTTTTTTCATAAATAATGGATAAACATATAAATATTTTTTTAATTATTTTATCTTTTTTTTTAATTAAGATAAAAATGATTTAACTTTTACATATAATTTTTTTATGTTCTCTTTTTTTTCTGAGTCTTTTATATTTAGTTTATATTTAATAATTAATAAAACAATAAATTATAATCTATTAAATATAAATTAAATAAAAAACTTAAATTAAGTGTAAGAATTTTTAACCTTATGTTAATATAAAAAAATATTTATATATATATATAAAAAGAATATAAAAGTAAAGTGAAAGTTAAATAAAAATTATTATATATATATATAAAGAGAAAAAGAATATAAAAGTAAAGTGAAAGTTACATAAAATTTATTATCTAAATATTATTTTTAATATTTATTTTCATCTCATACAAATAAAGCTTTAATATTTTCAATAATAATATTGGATATTAATAATTTAAATATTATTATGTTATAAATATTTTGAAAATAAAAAAAATGTTTTTTTTTCCTGAAATAGTGATTCCCAGACATGCTATATATTATGTGGCATGGTTTGAATTATTTATTCGAGTCATAGTTTATGAGAGCACACAATTTGTGGCTAAGAATTTTGTCGGCCAAATTATTAGCATCGGAGCGGAAGCATTTTCCCTGAAAGCATGTGTTGGATAATTCAGCAAAATACAGCAATCTATCCACTATTCATCGTACTTCCCTTTCTTTTATTGGGTGGAGAGGGGTAGCCGTAAGATAGGAGAGAAGGAAAAATTTTATTTTTCGCTTAGGTGAATTTAGAAATAAAATTAAATAATCTATTTTTTGTGCAAATTATAACGAATATGTATTCTTTGATAAGATTGATTTTTTCTTTTAATTAAAATAATTAAAATTAGCAACTATAAATGTTTTTAAAACAACTAATCTAAATAATCTTTTACATTTTCAATTCAATAAAAGTATTATTTTAATATTTATGTTTTATGTTTTTTTCATATTTTTTATGTATACGTTCAATTTTAAATTTAATATCTCTTTCCTAAAAAATCGTAGAAATATTATTTGAGACATACACAAAACAATTTAATGCACTTCACTCAATTATACAACTATTTATGTTTATTAAACAGTTATATTCAATTAGGTAACCACAAGATATAAACTTTCATCTAATTTATCAATTATAAGTTACAGACTATAAATTTTTAATTAATTTTACTAAACAAATCCTTAATTACCTAGCTTGTTAGTTCTTTTAGCTTTCAGAGCACTCCAATAGTGCATGCTTGAAATTGCTTCCTAACAACATAACATTTTCTTTTACCTTTTTCAATCCAAGCAACTTTTCTCCCTAATCACACAACTCTAGAAGTTTTATTAAAATGGATTCACATTACAACAATAGAATCGTTCCAAGTCCACTGGTGTAAATGTCACTGAACCATCACCGTTCAGAAAGGATGTGACCTTAATTTTTTTTAAAAATTGAAACAATGATTGATTATATTAGATGTTATATCATATTCGTATTCACAATTAAGCTGTCTTCGATGATAATTCTCAAAAAATATTTGGGTGCTTGGCAGGTAAATTGAGTTAGAAAACTCCATTAGAGATGTCTTAACTTTCATATATTTTTAGCACTCAATTGACTTTGTTACTTTTAGCTAATTATCTATTAGTCTCTTCAAATACACCTATTGTTAAAACATTTTTTTTTAGTACATGCAAAAATTAGTTGTAATTTTAGCAAAAAATATAAAATACATTAAATTGTGTTGAATTTTATATTTTTAATAATGACACACTGTATACAATTTTTTATTATATGTAATATTATACAAAATTAAAAAGCCGATGTTAATAATGTTAAAATGGTGTTTCATTTTAAAAGATAGCTCGAACAAAGTTAATATAGTTTATTTATTAAATAACCTTTAATTAAGTTGTTATTAGGATATTAGAAAAGAAATACTTTTTATTTATCAAAATTTTTACTGTTTAGTTTATTTAATTTAATATAAATATATTGATAGTGTATTTTTATATTATTGTTTAATTATGAATTATCATATTAAAAATATTTTTAATAATAATTAATATAATAGTCATATTAATAATATATTTTAATTATTAACAATGTAAAATTTCTACATTAAAAATGCACTAAGATTATTATTATTATTTTCAATCGCATGACTCGTGGAATTAAATAAGTATTTTGAAGTTATTATTATTGTTGTGAGATATGATATCGTAAACTATTTAATCGTTTCTTATAATTACATACTTGTCTTGTACAAATACACTTTTCCTCGTACATTGTTATTCTGCGTCAAATACGGGCTTCTTAACGCAAAACATGCTTAGGAAGTAATATGTTAAATAGTAGTGAAATTTTACATTTTATCTAGTTAGTTGACATGTGATTTGCCGGTAATAACTGATATTAGAGTGATAATATTTTAATATTATGTTTTGTAAAATATTATTAAAGTGAAGAGATTTTAGTTTTTAGTTTTTAGTTGTGAAGCTAATTAAGTTAAAGATTATTATTTATAATTAAAAATTTATAGTTATTTAAGTAATTTATGAAATTAAAATTATTTGGTAAATTAATATTATATTAAAAATAGTTATTATTTATTTTATTTATTTATGATCAATAAATTAAATATTTATATAAAATAAATAAAAAAATTTAAAATGAAATGTTTTTAAAAATATATATTTTTAATATAAAATATATTTAGATAAAAAAATAAAGAAATACATTAAAAAAAAAGGAATGACACTGTTGTGAGAAAAAAAAATAGAGTTAACGTATATATGTAAAACAGGTCTATTGTCTTTTTTTTAAATAAAAAGCAAAAATATAATATAATAAAAATATTAAAATTATTTTTAAAAATTAAATGCTATTTTAATAAATTTTAAAAAATTAATTTTAAAAATTATAAATATTTTTCATTTTGTATTTATCAAACAGTTGTATTAGCTTATTTTGCTAAACATAATTTTAGATTTTTTTATAGATTAACGTTATTCAGTTAGTTGTTTATAAATCTATCAATTTTTTATCCATCTTTATATCATATATGTAATACATTTACTTTTTAGCACATACAAAATAATTAATCGGATAATATATTAATTTATTTTAAAATCATATACAAAATTGTCAAATTTATGTTTTTTATAATTATGATATTTTAAATTTTAAATTATTTTTAATCATTTTATTTATTGATATTATTTTTTTATATAAGTTTTATATTTAAAATAAATATCATGTGTTAATAATTTTATATTATTTATTTTTTAAATTTTAGAAATTATCTTAAATACACATAATAGTTTTTCTTTTGATTTAAATCTTTATTAATTTTTTTTTTAAATTTAAAGATTAAATTTGTTATTTAATTTTTTTATTACCTTATATAAATTATATATATTTTTATAAATATCTATATAT